TCCCCTCCTGTTGCCTTCCTCTAGTTTCTCTACCCCTAAGCCCAGTTTTTTGGGGGTCATCTTCCAGAGCTGTTTTTCAAATGCATTGGAAAAATACAAGTGTTAGAATATTAGCATAGAGTACATTGCTCTCTGTCTTTTTTTTAGAGATCTTTCCTTTCCAATACATAGGAGCTTCCATAGCATGTATGACTTTTTTACTGGCTGCATAGCATTCTCTTATGTGGATGGTATCGTAACACAAGGTTAATCTCTTACTGATGGACATTTAGTTGTCTGGACTTCGGCTACTACAGTCAGTGCATTGATTAGTTTTGTAGATAGCTGAGGAAAGATGACTTTAGACAGTAGGCAGTATCCTGAAAGAATTTAGAAGTATTTGAAAATAGACACTTTTGTTCTTTGAGGCATCTCTAGTATCTAAAAGGATATTATTGGGCAGGTAGGAAACCCTCAGTTTGTTCTGGAATGAGTACTGTGATGAAGAACCTGGCTTTACAATCTGGCCACCCTGGGTTCTAATTCTAATTCTGTTCACTATCTGTGTGACTTTGGGCAAGTCATCTCACCTCTGAACCCCAGTTTCTTCTTGTGGTATGAGTCTGCATAAGGTGCTTGGGTTTACAAATTGGTGTTTTGGGGCTATATCTTATTCGATAGTCAGGATGGCTCTGTGAAGTCTCATTTCCATCTTCCAAGTGAGAAAAACTCAATTCTTAATAAGTTAATCCATGTTTTGCATCAACATATTAATGTTTCCAGCTAACAGTTTTGAGGGACCTCCGCATGCATTCTTCATATAGCTTTAAGCAACGCTGGATCACCTGTGAGTTTAGGTATTTTCCTTAAGCTTTTCTTAAGGAAAAGTATGTTTCTTAAGGAGAAAGTGTGTTTTTTCCTACTGCTCTTGAAACCTCTGTAATAACATGCTTCTTGCCTTTCAAATCAAGGACAGGAAAGCCTCGGGCCCAAAACTTCAGCAAACAGCCGATTCTGGGGCCCAGAGAATTCAAGGGCCTTTACCTAGATCACGTAGCAGGTTAATGTCAGTACCTGCAGAAGAATAGGGTCTCTGTGTCCATTAAGAGTATTAATAGCAGACCTGCCTTCCTGCATTTTATTGGTCAGTCCTTTACATTTATTCTCACTTAATCCTTACAACAACCCTGTAGGAAAAGATACTATTATTATCCCCAAGTTAAGTGCTTTTCTCCAAATACTACAGTGCATCTAAAATACTCTGTGCATCTAAAAATCAATCTCTGCTATTTGAGTCGATGGATAAGAACAGGTAGTGGAATGTGGCGAGGAGATAAGCAAAAAAACTCTTGAGTATATCAGAAAGATGAAATAACCATAGTTAAGAAAATGACTCAGGCTCTGGGCAGGTCTGGGTACCACCTCTAGCTGCCTCCATTTCCTGGCTATGTAACTTTAGTGAATTTGTTAATCTGTCAGTTTCCCAGTCTACAAAATGGGCTTCAAAATCTACTTTATAGGGTGCTTAGTGAAGATAAAATAAGGTTTATAAATGCTAGCTGTTAATTGTAACTCATGAAGAAAGGGATTCCGGGCTCTTGAGATTGATGTGCTGCTGTTGCTTTGCTAGGGCTGCCGAAGCAAAGGAACTTGGGCTCAGGGGCTTAAGCAACAAAAAATTATTTTCTCACTATTTTGGAGACTAGAAGTCCTAAGTAAGGTGGCAGCAGGGTTGGTTTCTTTCAGTGCTTCTGTCCTTAGCTTGTAGGTGGTGGTCATCTTACCCTTGTGTCTATATATTCTTCCCTCTTACCTGTGTCCAATTTTCCTCCTCTTATAAGGACAGTAGTCATGCTGGAGTAGGACCCACCCAAATGACCTCATTCTAACCTCATCACCTCTTTAAAGGCCCTCTCTCCACATACAGTCACATTCTGAGGTATGGGGGTTAGGACTTCAATATAGGAGTTTGGGAGCGGACACAATTCATACTAAGAGAAAACTTGGACCTACAAAAAAAATAGAGAAAATAAGTTGCTGATAATCCTAACCACTGGGAAGGTTCATTTCCTTTCAGTCTTTTTTATTCTGTGCATATTATTTATGTGCTATTCTACATTCTGCTTACTTTGTTTTACTTGATAGCCTAAGAACTTCCCTAGATAATTTAATTTAGAAACTGTGCTGTAAATATTATTTTGCAGAGCTGGATAAATGATCCATAGAGGGCCCCGTAGATTAGTGCTGCCCTATGTTAAGATGACTTAACCTTTGCCACCTATCATTCCTGGTCCTTTTAGCCCTAAGCACAGCAAGATTCCTCAGACAAAGAGATGGCAAAGCTGTGTGCTGGCGATAAAGGTCACGGTCACCCTGGGGATCTCACTGCCCCTGGGACCCTCTGGAGCTGACTCAGGACTAGATCCCTCTTTCTCCTCTTCCTGCTGGCAGAGCATGTTACAGCCCGTGACTCTCCTCACTGGGGATGTTGTCAAGGAGGCAGGGCCAGTTTCTATGCAATCTTCTCTTTCTCATGGGCACATTCCAGCCTTCCCACAAAGGATCCTGCTTCCGCGTGAGCTCCTGGGCCCTGGAGAGCTGACACGGGGCTCTGGGATGCTGAAGGCAGCTCTGTAAGCTTATAAGTCTCCCTTCTTCCCCTTTCCATCCACTAACCCTCTCTGCAAAAGATGGCTAATGTCTGGACTTCTTGCCCCTAGGTTAATTTGGCATATTTTTGAACTTCATTTCAATGGGGTCATCCATATAACCTTTCTTGTTTCTGGCTTGTATTTTCAACTGTATGTTGGTGAGATTCATCCGTGTTGTTGAGTCCTTGTATTTGATTTCATTTCATTATGTGAATACACCATGATGTTCCTCACCGTCTAGTTTGGTGGACATCTGGGCTCCTTCCAGTTTTCAGCTATTATAAAGTGCTGCTGTGAACATGATAATACATGTCTTTTGGTGAATGAGTGTATTTTGGGTCTAGACCTTAAACTGGAATTGCTGGGTCTGGAGGAATGTATATATTTAGCTTCAGTAAGTATTGCCCAATAGGTTTCCAAAAGGACTGTCCAATTTTTATACTCCCACTTCAGACTTTTTTTTTTTGACGTAAAATATGCATAACATAAAATTGGCCATTTTAAAGGAAATGATTCAGTGGTATTAGGTACATTTATAGTGTTTTGCGACCATCATCATAAACCATCTCCAGGACTTTTTCATCATCCCAAACAGAAACTCTGTACCCATTAAACAGTAACTCCCCAGCCCCCTCTCTTCTAGTCCTTGGTAAATTCTATTCTACTTTCTGTGTATTAATTTAACTACTATGTACCTCATATAAGAAGGATCATACAATATTTGTCCTTTTGTGACTTATTTCACTTAGCATTATGTTGTCAAGGTTCATCCATATTGTCATATGTATCAGAACTTTATTCCTTTTAAAGGCCAAATAATATTCCATTGGATGTACATACCACATTCTATTCATTCATTTCTTAGTGGATGCTTGGGTTGTTTCCACCTTCCAGCTATTGTGAATAATAATGCTATGAAAATTTGTGTACAACTACCTGAGTTCCTGCTTTTAATTGTCTTGGGTGCACACCTAGGAGTGGAATTGCTGGATCATATGGTAATAAAAAAAAACATGTTTACCTTCTGAAGAACTGCCAGACTGTTTTTCACAGTGGCCGCACCATTTCACATACCCAGTGCAGGAAGGTCCAAATTTCTTCACATCTTGTCAACACTCTTTATTTGCCTTTGGTTTGTTTCTGAATAGCCATCCTAGTGGGTGTGAAGTGGTACCTCATTGTGATTTTGATTTGTAGTTCCCTAATATCTAATGGTGTGGAGCATCTTTTCATCTGCTTATTGGCTATTTGTATATTTTCTTTAGAGAGCTGTCTTTAAGTTCTTTGTCATTTTTTGTTTTTTGTAAAGTTTTAGGAGTTCTTTTATATATTCTGGATATTTAATCATTTCGAATTCTACTTTTTAATATTACATTCTTACATACTATTTGAATACTTTTTGCATTACTTGTGTAATTGAAAAAAACCTCATCTGTTATTCTTTCTTATTTGAAGGAAGGATTTTTTCTTTAAGTCATTGTCATCATCTGAGACTAACAATTTTTCAAAAAAGAACACTTGGGAGACCTCACTGTGACATTTCTGTGGCACAACACTGTCCCTGAGGTCTTTGCTGTGCTGTCGCCTAGTATGATGAGCACTGTGTCTGGGCTAGCATGGAGGGAAACGCTGAGCGGGAGCATTGGTGCTCATAGTCAGGTGTGGTCCCTGCAGGGCCCCTAATGTCAAAGAAGGGCGGGTAAGAACCCTGGTGGTGAGTACTCTAGTGCATACCATGCGGTTGGGCTGACTGGCTTCTGAACCTCAGTGTTTTCATCTTTGAACAGGGCTAATACCTAACTTCGTAGGGTAGTTGGAAGGATGAAATGGGTCCAATCTCTGGTTTAGTGAAAGGTCTGCACTGAGAGTGCTTGTTTGTTTAAAAGGTGGCTGAGCTGGGGGAACTCGGCAGGAGTATGACAAACGGAGACTGCTGAGGTTGTCCAAAGTTTTGATCTGTGTACAGGGTGGTGTAGCAGGACGCATTTGTATGTAGTAGACTCATAGCCCTCAGAAAGGCTGAAAATCTTCTGCCTCCAAAACTGTCTGAGCCAATCTGTGACCTTGGGTCAGTGCTGTGTCTCAGTCAGGCCACCTGGGGCTAATGTCATGGAATGTCTATGATTTTGGGTCCTTTGGCCTCATGAGCAAGGAAAGGAGTTTGGCCCACAAACCAGGAAATAGTCCTCCCTCTGGAAACCAAATGGGAGCCCCATCTGAAAGTCACTGGATCACACTGTGGGAGGAAGTAAGCCAAATATCCTTGGAACAGTCCTTGATCCAGTCAGGGAGCTGTTGTCTGGTCTTGTTTCCCCTGGGGTAGCTTCTAGAAGCACACCCCATCCTAATACTCTCCTCCCTTCCCCACAGTGGTTTTCATGGACTGCCCTGGACAAGTGTCGGCCTTACTTAGCACTGATGATGACTTCACTGTATCCCCTGACAGAACAGTCCAGGTAAAACACTGTGTCCACCTGCGGATGAAAGAAAGTGTTATCCATGCATTCCCAGCTTTCTGCTGGCGAGGAGTCTGTTGTGAGCCACATTACCCCTTCAGAGGAGGCAGGGTTAGCCCTCGGTGGCCCACAGCTCTGGGTGTGGGTACTGATCTAAGCAAGATGGTGCTTGCAGCTGCTCCCAGTAGGGGCGCCAGAGAGTCAGGCCAGTGGGTCAGAGCTGCCTTTTGAGTAATAAATAGCTTAGTGCCCTTGGTCCCTGAAATTCCCAGTCCCACCTCCCTTTCTTTCCCATATCACCTGGGCAAACCCCTAGTGAAGGCGTTTTCAACACAGGAATGCCAATCCCATGAGCCTCTGGGAAGGTGGACCTAAGGCCCTTGGCCACATTAATTTTTTTTAATGTAATTTTTGAATAGTTAATATATCCACATGGTTCAGAAACTTAAATATTTACAAGTTATACAATGAGTAATTTCCCCTTGTTTCCCTGTATCTGCCTAACGCCCTCTCCACCCCTCCCAGAGAAGACACAGATAACCACTATTACTAGTTTCTTTCTTTCTAGTGTTTATTTATATATTTGTTGTATGTTTATTTTAAATATACTTTCATATAATATATACACACACACGCAGTATATATATCAAACATCTTCCTATGTCAACATATAGGAAGCATCCTCATTCCTCACTTTAGAGCCATGTAGTAGTTCTACGAAACGGATATATTATAGCATATTCAGTTGGTCCTCCTCTGTAAGGGAACATTTAGATTATTTCCAAATTTTCTTTTGCAATAAACCCATCTATGTCTCTCTCCTCAACCTCTTTCCTTCCTGTAGGTGAGAGGATGTTGTATGTGTTTCAGCTGTTTGCTTGTCTGGGTTAAGGGGTTTTCTCTCCTTGCAGGAAAAGAAAGCATTGAAGATATCCCCACCCAAACGCATCTTGCGAAGACGCAAGCGAGAATGGGTGGTCCCTCCAATATCTGTCTCTGAGAATGGCAAGGGCCCCTTCCCCCAGAAGCTGAATCAGGTATGACTGCACCTTCTCCCTGGGACTCATCGGTGGCTGCAGGGCCCTTCATCCAAAGGCCTGAACATGAGCTTTCTTACTACTGAGCACTGGGAGTCTCCAGAGGAAACCCTCTATCGTGGGAGCAGTGTCTGATAAAGCAGTGCCTCTCTTGCTGCAACTGTGAGATATTTGTCAGTTGGATGACAGTATCCTTTTTTTCCCCTTCCTAGCTCAAATCTAATAAAGATAGAGGCACCAAGATTATCTACAGCATCACAGGGCCTGGGGCAGATAGCCCCCCTGAGGGTGTCTTCACCATAGAGAAGGAAACAGGCTGGCTGTTGTTGAATAAGCCGTTGGACCGCGAGAAGATTGCCAAGTATGAGGCGAGTAACCTGTGGTATATCCGGTGAGAAGCAGACCCCAGGGCTTGGTTTGGGTGGGGGAGCAGCAGGCTGACCCCAGACCTGTCTACCCACAGCTCTTCGGCCACGCTGTATCAGAGAACGGTGCCTCAGTGGAAGAGCCCATGAATATCTCCATCATTGTAACAGACCAGAATGACCACAAGCCCAAATTCACCCAGGATGTCTTCAGGGGGAGCGTCTTGGAGGGGGTACTACCTGGTAAGAGGACTGGGAAGGGGACAGCTGTGAAGGTCTGCTATAGCCTTAGGTCAACTTCTGGAACCATCTGGAGGTCAGCTCAGACCCTTAAAGGCTGGAAAAACCCACACTTTGATTTCCTTGGCTGTGCATCAGATTACCTGGAATTTTCTTAAAAATCCAGATGTCCTCTACTCCATCCCAAGATCCCTGAATAGGAATGATCCTGGAGTAGAGCTCTGGAATCTGTATATTTGAAAATTTCCCAAAAGCTTCAGATGAGCAGCCAGGTTTGGGAACCACACTAGCTTTGGACCTGCGAAGACTTACATGTGAATCTTGGTTTTGCCTCTTTACCTGCTGTGACCCTAGGCAAGGTCTTGACTTCTGAGCCTCAATCTTCACATCTGAAAATGGGGATAATATCAACCTTTAAGTATTGTGAGGATTAGAAATAACACACGCATGCCATTATGTAAACGAAGCACCTAACACAAGATTCTTTAGTAAGCGGCAGCAGCAAGGAGAGCAGCAAAGGCTGGGAGGTGTCAATTATGGTTTATGGAGAGCAGAAAATAAACTTCTGGGGCTGGAGTAGAGGGTGGGAGGGGCCAGCAAAAGACTAGAGAAATAGGCACTTATTAACAACCTCAAAGGCAGGTGCTGGTGGGGAGGGGTCCTCCTTCCTCTCTGCATTATGGAAAATTACAGAGCAATGTGAATTAGGTAGGCTGCCAGTACAGACTCCCAAAGAAAAACAAGATGGAGCCTTTTTTTCCCCTTATATTCAAAAAGATTAGAGGTGGTCAGTCCCGGCTCAATGGTGATGAAGTGTTTGAGACCCAGACACCTTCTTTCTCGTTGCTCTGCTGTTTCTGGTCCGGCTTCATTCCCAGGGTTACGTGTTCATTGCTGCTGGAGCTCCAGCCATTACAACTGGAAGAAGGGAAGCGGGTGGGAGGAAAAGCCCCATATTCTAAAAAACAATTCCCCTAAAGTTATATGTCCCATTTGTCAGAATATAGTCTCGTGGCTTCAGCTAGCTATACGAAGAGATGGGAAATAGTCTTTGTTCCAGGTGGGCCTGTGCTCAGCCTAAAATGCATGCAGATCATGTTCCTAAGGAAGAAGGGGAACAAAGGAAATGGGCACCAACCAGCAGTCTCTGCCACAAAGTGGACGATGGGTCCAAGCCAACAAGCATGGTGAAGCCTCAGTGTTCCAGAAGTGGGCCCAGCTGGAACTGGAGCTGGGAGGGAAGGGTGCTCACTCATCCCTTTTCCCCCTCCAGGCACTTCTGTGATGCAGGTGACAGCCACAGATGAGGACGATGCCATCAACACCTATAACGGGGTGGTTGCTTACTCCATCCATAGCCAAGAGCCAAAGGACCCACACGACCTCATGTTCACCGTCCACCGGAGCACAGGCACCATCAGCGTCATCTCCAGTGGCCTGGACCGGGAGGTGAGAAGCCCTCTGGGAAAGCGTTGCCTACCCAGGCCTGCCCCTGGGGCCTGACACTCAGAGCAGAAGCTCCTGTTCCTGCCCTCAAAAGCCCAAGCCAGAGCTGCGGGAAGCCAGGTCATCTGGGAATGGCTGCTGCTGTGTTCCCGTGCTCATGTCCCACAGCTCCCTTAGGCCACTGGCGTGCTGCCAAATGATCTCGTTAAGGCTGGGGAGGCAGCTGTAAAAATGCAGACGTTTGATATATTCTGTAGGTTTTCTCATTTCCTCTCAGAATGGCTCACTTAGCACGCACATTGCCCAGATTTGTCCCTTGTGTGCCACAAAGTAGAATTAGCTGCGTGGATATTGGAGTTTCCTCCTGTTTCCTCCTTTAATACCTTTGCCCAAATCCCTGCTCAAAGCTTGCCTTCTGCCTCAGCCCCTCGTCAGAGATAATGCTCAGGCTCCATCCCCAACAGGCCCAGGAGACATATGCGTATCCACAGTCCCTCCACCTGCCCCCTGGAGGTGGGTGGTCGTGGGTCCAGGGCTCGAGAGAACATTGTGAGAGGGAGAAACCTTCCCATACACCTAAGGCTGTGCCTCTGGGAGCGCATTCTGAGGGACCCCTCAGACCGAACTCACAGTGGCCTTCCACTCTCCTGTTCTCTCCAGAGAGTCCCTGAGTACACACTGACCATCCAGGCCACCGACATGGACGGGGATGGCTCCACCACCACGGCAGTGGCCACAGTGGAAATCCTCGATGCCAATGACAATGCTCCTGTGTTTGATCCCCAGAAGGTAGTGCCCCTTTCTGCTTTCTTCCCTCATCAGGTGACAAAGGAGAATAGTTTTCCTTGCTAATGAATCTCCAGGACCAGTCCACGTCCTGGTCCCACCTGCCACTAGCTCTGGTCTTACTTCTCTGTGCTCTGTTTCCTAACCTGTGAGATGGGGATAATTCTGATATCTGCTGCACTGTTCTGAGTTTTTAATGAAATCATCTATATACAATTCTTAACACAATCCCCAGCATATAATAAGTGCTCAATATGAAAATCTTGGTTGTTAGGAAAACTCATTTGACTCACACCTGTACCTGCCCTGAACAGCTGATTTCCATCTTTGCCACCTGTTCTAGAAGAACTTCCAAAAAAAGTTCCTGGTCAGTGCCCCAGAGCAGTCAGGTACCTAGCCCTTCTTGTCACCTTCCTAATTCCTTCCTGATCACAGCTGCATAGGTGGCTGCACGTGGCAGGGATTTGGACACCCAGACCAGTGAGATTCCTGGAGCATCAGGCCCCTGGGTGTAGGAAAAGCAGGCCCAAGATCACAGTGGTCTGTCCCAGCAGCTGGGGGGCTGACTCTTGGGACGTTCTGCAGCAGTGTATGCCCTGAAACCCTGATAAGTGGGTTGGGTGGTCCTGGAAAGGGTGAGCAGCATGGTGCTCCCCTGGAGTTGGGTAGAGGACTCACAGCTGGTAAGGAGTGCAACGGTCTCTCAGGGCGGTCAGTTTCTCTGCTCTGACTGTGCTGTGCTTCCCACACCAACAGTACGAGGCCCATGTGCTGGAGAACACGGTGGGCCATGAGGTGCAGAGGCTGACAGTGACCGATCTGGATGCCCCCAACACTCCGGCATGGCACGCTACCTACCGCATCTTGGAAGGTGACGACGGGGACCATTTTACCATTACTGCCCACCCTGAGAGCAATCAGGGTATCCTGACTACCAGGAAGGTGAGCCAGTTTGTGCTTTAGACAAGGGCCACACCTGGGGCAGTCAGGTCTGCAGCCTGCAGAACAGAGAAGTACCACCTGCTGTGGGACATGTTCCTTGGACCACTCTCCAGGGAGCGCACCAGGCCCGTGGCTTCCAGCACTTACCCACCCTCTTGGGTTAGGGAGTCCCTTCATTCGAACTGAATCTTACCCAGGACCCAGTTCCAAAACCCGATAAAAGTCAGTGATCTAACTGAAACAGATCAATGGAGCCCCTCCTGCCAGATCCCAATGTGCCATGGCTTCCGCTGTCAGTCTTCTCACACAGAGGGTCTCTGTTTATTGGAATTCTTGCTAATTTTGTATTTAATCCATAATATTCATTCATTGGGATAGTGAAATGTGGCAAATTACTTAGGCATACCCTTACCTCAAACTTGGATAACATTTAATGCTTCAAGAAGATGAGCCTAATCTTTCTTTGATTTCTTTTACCTACTGGTTTGCTATGAAAAAGAGCCCAGTTTGAGAAGCAGCATTTTATATAATACTTTAATGACTATCCCCTTCTTAAAACAAAAATATTGTAGTGCCCTTCTCACGTTGTGAAATGAATTTCACTTATAATGTAATTTATCTAGCTTATGTAAGTTCTAGAAAAACCGAGTACCCTATCTGTAAAATAAAGGAGAATTTTACAGGAATAGGTGCTGGTAATAAAATAACTGTATATAACCTTTTCAATCCAAGTATACTAGAAGACATAATGAGTGGTCAGCACTCACATCTCTTTGTAGAAGCATCCAAACGTGGGGGTGCTTTGTGTCGCTCTGGAGACTCTCCTGCAAGTGGTGTTGTGGTCTCTCCAGAACAGCCATAAACAGCTCTTGGGAAAGGCCTTAACAAATCAAATTACCAGCTCCCCTCAGAAGTTACATTCCTAGAAAATTCAGCGTATATTAAAACCACACCAAAAATTTGGTTTACATGTCAAACATGTCCTAGACTGTAATTACAGACAGACTTTTCACAGCCACCAATACATGAATGTCCAAGGGGATATTGGCAAGTCACACAGGATATGGGACAGTTCTTTGGGTTCCTGCCCAAGCCTGTAAATGCCAGTGGCATCCCCGATTATTATGACAACTAGAAATGCCTCTACAGGTTTCTACAACACCCCTTCTAGTGTGTAACCACCCCATTTCTAGGGCTTGCTGGCCTGGCTGCTTTTGGAGCGATCTGAGCCCCACTGGATGTCCACTCAGGAAGTGCAGTGGCTTTAAGGGATGGGTGGGGGAGGGGGATGTGTCTTTGCTGGTGGGAGCCTTGAGCTCCCTGCTATGGGCCCTTTCCTCCTGGCATCCTAGCACTGCACAGGGCCTCTGCATCAATGCATCAATGGCGGCTCGTGTCCTCCCTCTTTTTCTCTCCCAGGGCTTGGATTTTGAGGCCAAAAACCAGCACACGCTGTACGTTGAAGTGACCAATGAGGCTCCTTTTGTGGTGAAGCTCCCAACCTCCACGGCCACCATAGTGGTCCATGTGAAGGATGTGAATGAGGCTCCTGTGTTTGTCCCACCTTCCAAAGTCGTCGAGGTCCAGGAGGGCATCTCCATTGGGGCGCCTATCTGTACCTACACTGCACAGGACCCTGACAAGGGGAATCAGAAGATCAGGTATATGAGAGCTGAGCGCAGATTCACCCAAATGCCCTGGTGCTGTTGGGTGGGTGGGTTGTTATGACCAGAATTTGTTTTACTTATAAAGACTGTTAACTATTTCGAATATTACCTCTGCACAGGGCCTTCCCTTCCTGCCCTCCCTAAGGCTGCGGCTGAGCAGAGGCCCAGGGAACAGGTGTTCTTGTCCCCTCTGTGTGTCCCTGCTGGGTGCCTCACCTGCTGCTCAGGCTCCCAGTTAGGGCTGGGGTGCATTTTCTGCATGATCTGGCTTAAGCCTAAGTCCCATGACACTGTCTGCCAATTGGGATGAAGAGCATTTGATACCAAAATTCTGAATATTCTGGGTGTAACTCTTCTCAACTTCTCTGCTCCAGCTACCACATCCTGAGAGACCCAGCAGGATGGCTAGCAATGGACCCAGACAGTGGGCAGGTCACTGCTGCAGGGGTGTTGGACCGCGAGGATGAGCAGTTTGTGAGGAACAATATCTACGAAGTCATGGTCTTGGCTGTGGATGATGGTGAGAGCTCCCTCCCAGCCCGTCCACGCAGACACTGGGGGGCCCATGACTCAGGCAGAGTATGGTGTGGGGAGGAGTGTCAGCAAACCAATCTGGAGCGCCAAGAGGTCTTTCAGGGGAGTCTTTTAAAGACTGGTCCTAGGGTTGGCCAGTGATGATTCTGATTTCCCTGAGACCCAAGAGTTAGCAGATATCCTGAAGACTCCTTTCAGCCTAAGTGTGTGGTTCACTGAGTCCTGAATTAGTCTGTCAGTTTCCCCATGCGACTGATTGAAAGGGGCTGCCTGGAAAGTGCCATGTTGATTAGCGATGTCACCCCATACAGGATTGGGGGTTATGTGATTGCCATGTGTCTCTGCTTGACACATAGCGAAAACCCAAGGCCTGGACGGGTTAACAGGGCTGTGGAAGGAAGCCTCCCTGAAGCTGATCAGCAAACACTGCCTAAGCCCTGAGGGGGCCAGTGGGTTTTGCTTTATGATCGATTGGTAGTGGCTGTCCAGATGAAGTGTCTGCAACTGTGCTACGGTCAGTTAGTAATGTCTGCTGTGGATACAAAATGAGATTGATGGAATAATTGCCATGTTTTGACATCACTGGTGGGCTCTGTAGTGAAGTAGGGCATGGAGGGGCTTCAAAGGTTACAGCTGGGCAGTAAACAGGAGGCTCCCTGGGTCTGATGGGGTAGGGCGTAGGGGATTCATCACCCCAACCATGGACGGATGCTGAGACGGTGTCATATGTGTAATTATGAACAGGGGGCCCTCCCACCACTGGCACAGGAACCCTCCTGCTAACACTTATGGATGTCAACGACCATGGCCCAGTCCCCGAGCCCCGACAGGTCACCATCTGCAACCAAAGTCCTGTGCCCCAAGTGCTGAACATCACGGACAAGGACTTGTACCCCAACACCTCCCCTTTCCAGGCACAGCTCACACACGACTCAGACATCTACTGGACAGCCGAGGTCAATGAGAAAGGTAACTGAGCAGTGATAGCAGCTGGGTGTCTGCCAGGGCCCTGCGCGCACTCCCGCCCCAGCCTTGTGCGGGTCACCAAGGGAATGGGTAAGCCTTTGGAATTGCCCAGGAGCCCTTAGACACCATTCTAGCCCGACCACCTTCTTGTACAGTTGGATAAATGAAGCTCAGAGAGAGAGGGCGTGACTTTGTCAGTACCATGTGGTGAGAGCGTTGGGACTCTAGTGCGGTGATAGTGGACGACACACACTGAGTATGTGTATTGTGTGCTAGACACCCCTGCAGGTGCTTTACAAAAAGAGGTGACTTTGCCCTCATGACAGCCCTAAAGGAAGGCCCTGCTGTCATACACATGCACACACACGTGCACTCATTTTACAGATGAGGAAACTAGGGCTTACAGGAGGTTCAATATCTTGGCAGAGGCATTATGGCTAGAAAATGATGGCACCAGAATTTAAAGCCAGGCAGTCTGACTGACTTACCACGATGCTCTGCTGCTACCATTTACTGAACCCTGGCTATATTGGACCATTTATTGGACCCAGACAGGACACTTTTTTCCTTATTTAATATTTCTGCCACCCTCTGTGGTCAGTATTTTTATCCCTATTTACAGATGAGAATGAGGCTCAGAGAGGTTAAGTAGCCATGCCCAAGGGCACAGAGTGGGTAAGCAGTGGAGAGGAAGTTGAAGCCAGAGACCCTGGCCCCCCCACACCCCTGCACCCAGTCACCTCCCCATCTTTTCTCTTTCCCGTCCCCCACCAAGCTTTTCAGCCTCCACTCGTTTTTAAAGTTGTCACAGGACTGGAGGACGGGTCTTCCTGGCAGCAATGGGTGAGGACCCAAGTGCGTGGGGAAGGTGGGTCCAGCCCCAGGTGCCAATGAGGTCCCAGGAGAAACACTGCCCACTATTTAATGTCTCCCCCGTCCCCTTGGGGCTGAGGTCCCCCAGGATGGAACTGGGGAACCAAAGAAACCAAATGCCCCGTGTCTATTCTGCCACTGAGCCCAGGCCAGGAAGGGGCCCAGGAGGCCTGCTTCAGACACCCATATTGTCTCATTTGCCTGATTGCTGTGATTCGGGTCTGTATATCCCGCAGCTTTCCTTTGGGGAACATAAATTGGTCTCCTGTTCCCCGCTTGTGGCCTACAAGCCATTTTTTTCCTTCTCTGACCTTATCATTCACAGAGGGTACACTCTGGAGCCAAAATGCCTACGGTCAAGACCTGACTCCTTCATTTACTAGCTTTGTGATTGTGGGCAAGTTACTGATCCTCACTGTTAGGTTTCCCTATCTGTAGAATGGTAGCTACTTCCATAGCATTGCTGTGAACATGGAGTCCGTGGAAGGCATCCTGTCTGGTATATCAGTGCTCAGTAGTTGTGAGCAGACACCTTCAGCACCACTGTTTCTCAATAACAACTACAGATACGGTTCTCAGTGGGAGCATTATGGCCAAAGATCGGGTGCCATTACTTGAAAATGGTGTTCATACCTGGTTCGTGGTTTTAACTTAGTTATTTTCTACCTGATCGTGTCCCTGTTACCAGGGGAATTAACCCAGACTCTACCCCTGTGTGATCTTGGGCTGGTTACTTGACCTCCCTAAGCTTCAGCTTCTACATTTGTAAAATGAGGATGACAGCGCCTGCCTCTCAGAGCTACTGTGAAGCCCAGAGCAGGGCCTGGCCCATGGTGTCAGTTCGGTCACCACTGCCATCAGCACCATCATCATCGTCATCACCATCAACTGAGAAATGGGCCCTCAGATGGGAACAGGGTAGTTGGTCGGGAGATACCCCAGGTTGGCCTTCCCACATGGTTGGCCAAATGTGCAGCCTGCAGAGCTCTCTCTGGGCACCATTGCTGATTGGCAACGGGCTGAATTCTCCCTTCTGGCCTTTTAACTGAAAGCGGCCCAGTGAACATGCAGAGCCTTTGAACTGAAAATGGCTTGAGGTCAGTGTTGAAATACACCAGCAAGCCTGAGAGTGGGCAGGCTAGAAGCATGGGGTTGTTTTTTATTGCCCCGTTGACTGGGGGACCCTGCTGGCATTTAGTGGTGAGGATCTGTAATGCTTAGAAAAGTCCTACATGATGAAAAATAGTTCCCCCAGCTAACAGCCCCCTCCTTGAGAAACTTGAATCTAAACTGAAAGCCTTTCTTCAGAGAGGCTCCTGACCCTGTATTTCTCACCCACAAACATAGCTCCCCTCCTCACTCCAGGATTGCCACACAGGCTCCCCAGAACAGGCCCACCGTGCAGGCCATGCTGAGGTCTGGCTTCTGCTCCAAGACTAGCCTGCCACCCACCCTGGGCCTTTGAAAGCCACTTAGCACCATGCCCACTGCAGCCTGATTTCCAGCATCCCTGAACTTGTATGCCGTCAGTAATGCTGGGATAACACAGGGTAACATCCCCTTTGATCTGCTTAACAATGACAGTTCTATCACCAAGGCATGTGCATTTGGATTTATTAATAGTTGGTGCTCACTCAGGACAGCATATCAGGTATTGAAATTCCGTCATATAGTTGAGGTATAAACCTACCAAAGCAAGAGCACAATACTGCAATAATAGTAGTGAAGTTTAAAATAGGAAAACAGGTGGCCAGTAAATGTGAATATGGAAAGACTGGGTTAACTGTCTCTTAGGAAGAGCAGTGTATCCTGTTTGAGGCAAAGAACAATCTAGCAGCAAATAGTGCTGAGAAATTACTGGCCCTGCTTAACATGACTTTTTAAAAACTTAGTATTTGAAAAATACTGTGATTATTGATTTTTTAAAAAGAAAATGATGAACTTATTCTTCTATCCCAATAATCCTTTCCATGATGGTGAATTTGGCTCTGGCCAAATATCAGTCTTTAACACTTGGCATAGGGTGCTTTGGGGCCGTTACTCCCTGTGGAGTGGATGCAGGGGCTTTCTCCCCAAATGTCCACTGTTGTCATACCCGGTTCCTGCCATTTGTGGTCTCCTGAGCTGAATAAAGGCCTATCCATTCCAGGAGACACAGTAGCCTTGTCACTGAAGAAGTTCCTGAAGCAAGACACGTATGATGTGCACCTTTCTCTGTCCGACCACGGCGACAAGGAACAGCTGACAGTGATCAGGGCCACCGTGTGTGACTGCCACGGCCAGGTGGAAACCTGCCCTGAACCCTGGAAAGGAGGTTTCCTCCTGCCTATCCTGGGGGCTGTCCTGGCTCTGCTGTGTGAGTACTAGCGTCCTTCCCCCTCTCAGCCGGAGGTGGTTAGGAGACCTGATTCTACCCTGAATTTCTGGAATTCAGGGGCCGCCAACACTGCCCATCTGTTCCTTTTAAGTTCTAGGAGTGTCTTTCAGTCAATAGATGTTTATGGGCTTCTGGAATGTGCCAGGCTTTGGGGACAGTGGGGGGCAAACAGACTTAGCCACTCTGTCACCTAGAGGCTAGAGCAGCGGTTCTGAAAGTGTGCTCTTCAGACCACCAGCATAAGCATTACCAGGAACTTATTCAGGAACTTAGGGATGGACTCCAGTGATCTGTGTTTTATCAAGCCCTCTGATGCATGATGCATAGAATTGGAGAGCCACTGGTCCAGGGGATAGAAGTGTTTGGTTAAAAACTAATTCCTTTCCTCTGAAGATAGAACCTATCGCATTTTATTTTCACACTCTCTGAATTGGTCCTGACACAGAAAACACATATTCCATCAGATGTGAATACAACAGCAAGCTGTAATCAATCCATGTACTGTGCACCAAGCACTATTGTAGGCACTTGGGGGCACAGCACTTAACAAAACAGACCAATCCCTGCCCTCATGAAGCTTACTTTCCAGTGCAGAGAGAGAGGACAACAAATAGTCTGGCACAGAAAAAAGGGTTACTATGGAGAAAAAGCAGGGGGAAGAGGTCTGTCCTTCTAAGTAAGGTAGACAGAAAAGGCTTTGCTGAGAAGGGGATATCTGAGTAAAGACCTGAAGTAAGGAAGCAAATCATTCAGATATCTTGGAAACAGCAAGTGCAAAGGCTCTGAGGTAGCACTGTGTTTGGTATGTGGAAACAGCAATGGCTGGAGTGGAAAAAGCAAGAGGAAAGAGAATAAGAGATGAGGTCAGAGAAGTGATGGGTGTGGGAAGCATGATTTGGGGGCCTTGTAGGCTAGTGTAAGGACTCTGGGTGAAATGGGAGGTCATCAGAAGTTTGGAGCAGAGGAGTGATGTGATTTGACTTGAATTTTACAGGATTCCTACTGCACAGACTGTAGAGGGGCAAGGGTAGAGGTAGGGATACCTTTGGGGCCATTGCCATAATCTAGGGGCAAGTTGATGGCTGGTGGCTCAGACCAGGATGGCAGCTGAGAAGGTAAGACGTGGTCATACTTTCAAAGCAGAAACAATTCAGATTCATATGTGGTATGAGGAGTAGAGCCACCAAGGAGTCTAGGCCCTGAACAAGTAGAAACATGGAGTTTCCATTAACCAGTTTGGAAAGGACCCTGGGAAGAGATTTGCCAGGCAGTCCGAATGGAGTTCTATCAGGAGGCAGTTAGGCACATATGCTTTGGTGCAGGTGAGAAGTCCAGTCCACTTCCTGCCTTTGCCCTAACCCAGTAGGAAGGAAGTGAGGAGGGAGATGTCACAGTCTAGCCCACCAAGGGTGTGCATCCTGAGACCCCATGGATTCCCAAAGAAGGCTAGGGCTATTTGTCTGGCCAGAGAGACAGTAGTTCTATCCAAAAAAGAGATGAAGGTAAACAGTAGCTGTGTCCTCCTGAATTGAACAGCCACAGAGAGGGCCAGCGACACGTTCTTCATATGGGATTAACTGAGGGTAGCCATGGCATTTAGGGAGAGCAGCCAGGCATTAGTTGGCCAGTCCCTTTCTTAAAATCCCAAAACAGTATTTGCACCTAAGTTCAGATTATTGCAATATCAAAGTTGAACCCTTTTGCTTTTAGCTTTAAGTCTGTGGCTAATTCGGGGACACCTATGGACTGAAAAAGAGTCTTGTTGAAAAGTAGCATCTGCTGAGAGAGTCCCATCCCCACAAAGGAGGATTTCCTTAAGGGCCAATGCCACCAGTATGGAAAGGGGGGCAGTAAGCATACAGAACGATAGGTGGGGGCATGCTGCTGAGGGGAGGTGGTGGTGAGCTGAGAGCTGAAGGGTGAGAGCTGGGAATGTGCCTGGGAGGGTTCCAGGTGGGGAAGGAGACCAGAGGACGATCTGAAGGGGGAAACTGCTGGGTATATTTGAAGGACTCCAAGGTCAGTGTTCTAGACCTGGATGGGGGAGGCAGGGGCTGGAGCCGGGCAGGAGCTTTGACGGTTGGGATTTTCCTAGGTGCATGGGAGCCATTGATGTGTTTCAAGCCCTGGTTACCCAGAGGGGGGTTATCCAAGGGTTTGGAGTCCTGGGTGGCCGTGTGGTTGCTAGGGGTGAATATTCATGCCCCCCAACTCTGCTAGTTCTCCTGCTGGTGCTCCTCTTGTTGTTGAGAAAGAAACGCAAGGTGAAGGAGCCCCTTCTGCTCCCAGAAGACGACACCCGTGACAACGTGTTCTACTACGGTGAAGAGGGGGGTGGCGAGGAGGACCAGGTGAGACACTGAGAGGTCGGGTGGCTGGAAGGGATGCCCCGGGGCCGCCACTGACAGGGGGTGGTTGGGTCAACCAACTGACCGTGTTGGCTCTGTTGCCCAGACACTGACCTGAAGCGTTGATCTTCATGCAGGATTGACCACCAGCTCTCCTCTTCTGAGAGCATGTCTGGTCTATTGCTGTAGCCTCTCTGGTCCCTTTGACCTTGAGCCTGCTCTTAATTTGGGAGGAGAGGATATGGAAACCAGGACTTTCAGAAATCTCTGACATTATCTGTCTTCTAAAACCTACCCATGAACCAGAACATCCGAATGGTAGGGAAGTGGGTGAATGTCAGTGGTGGGAAAGAAGGAGGGTCCTTTTTAATCCCACACTCTCCTTCACGTTCACCAAGGACTATGACATCACTCAGCTGCATCGGGGTCTGGAGGCCCGGCCGGAGGTGGTTTTCCGCAATGATGTAGCGCCAACTTTCATCCCCACTCCAGTGTACCGTCCCCGTCCAGCCAACCCAGATGAAATTGGCAACTTCATCATTGAGGTGAGGCGTGGGGCCAGCTTGGGGCAGCCCTCTTATCAAGAACCAGCATGGGTTTGGAGTCTTGGCTCTCCGTTCAAATCCTGACTCCACCACTAACCAGCTCTGTGACCTCTGGCATGTTTGAGTAACTTCTGGGTTTCTGCTTCCTCCTCCATAAAACCGTAAGTTGCAGAGCAGTTAAGAATAGGTTAAGAATCATTTATTCAACAAATATAACAGTTGTTAAAAGAAAACCCGGGAACCAGACTATCTGGGTGTGAATTTTTCAGGATCCCAGGTGATTCCAATGTGGAGCCAAGTTGAGGATGCTGTGTTTTGGTTGCTTTAAGGTTGGATGAATTAGCATCTTAAACTGGGCTGTGCAGTGGCTCCCAAACTGCCTGCACATTGGAATCCAGGGAACTTCAGAAACTACTGGTGCCTCAGACTCACCCCTAAGACTGTGATTTGATGGATCTGGATGTGGCCTGGGCTTTGGAATGTTTTAAAGATTCCCAGGTAATTTAAGTGTGTGAGCCACTAGCTTGGCACTTAGTATTTGTTAGGTAATGATAATTATTGTTGCTAATAGCTGGGTGTCACCGTTCTGAACTCCGGTCACACATTTACTTGGTTCATCTGAGAAACCTTGACAAAACATCAGTGCCTGGGACCCAGACATCCGTTGTTTTTTTATTTGGCTCTGATACATATTTTTGGCTCTCCAAGGAAATCAAATATACAGCCAGGATTGTGAGAACCACTGAATCCTAAGAAATATGTGATAGGAACCTAGCATGGCCTGTTACCTTAGGAGCAATCAGGAAATGGAGGTTTTTAAGGGAAGGAAGAAGGAAGGGAGGATAGATTGATGGGTGGGGGGGGGTGTGAGGAAGCAGCAGTGGGCAGAGGGCTCAGTGTGCCATCAGGATTCCTCCTGGCTTGAACCTTTCCATTTACACTTCTTGCCTTCTAGAAATAGCCTTGGGGATGAGACTCTGTTCCTTAGCCTGAGCATATCTGAGAGTGCTGCGCACAAACAAGAGCGTCTGGGGAAAGTTTCTCAGGGCAGCTGGTTTGAGAAGATGACTTGGAGCTAAATTAAGTATCTGGAGCTTTTCCCTCCAGTTAGACAAAGACAGCTTCCAGAATGTCTGAGTATTGGATTGTTTTGTAAATACTATCTCATTTAACCCCCCCTCTGCGGGGTGATTCTATCAACTCTGCATGGTGGAAGTCTGTTGTTATCCTCATTTTGTAAATGAGAAAATAGTGTTCGACTATATGTCGGGTACTATTCTAATAAGTAGTTTACCTATATTTAAATATATTCATATATTCCTCTAAAACTATACCTAGTCTCCCCATTTTAGAGATGAGGTAAAACAGCACAGAGAAGTTAAGTGATCTGCCCAGAGTCCTAAAACTAGAGAGTGTGGTCTGCAGTGAGTTCTCTTGGAGCTGTCTGACTTCAGAGTCCCTGCCCTTAACCACTGGCCTGTCACCCACAGCAGCTGCTCTATGCTGGGCCCTGTGCTAAGTGTTCATGTGCATTATTTCATTTCAACCTTCAAAACCTTAAGGGAGGGGAGACATGGCTCCGCAGATGAAGCAGTGCTAGCTTGGGGAGGTGAACTCACTTGCCTGAGCTGTCGCAGCTGCCGAGTGTCTGACCCAACCGGCTGCTCCTAACCACCTGCTCTGTCACCACAGAACCTGAAGGCAGCCAACACGGACCCCACAGCCCCACCCTACGACTCCCTGTTGGTTTTCGACTATGAGGGCAGCGGCTCCGATGCCGCCTCCCTGAGCTCCCTCACCTCTTCGGCCTCTGATCAGGACCAAGACTATGACTATCTGAGCGAGTGGGGCAGCCGCTTCAAGAAGCTGGCGGACATGTATGGTGGTGGCCAGGACGACTAGGCCACCCTGTCAGCGGGTCCAGGGACTAAACATCAGGCTGTGGCCGCATCTCCAGCCTCAGCCAAGGATTCGGGAGCTTGTTGAGAAGTGGCCTTAATAACTTGGAGGAGAGAGACCTCAAGTCTGATATTAAGGGGTTGGTTTCTAAGCCTTTGAGTGGAGAGACATGGGCAGTTGGATCTCAACACTGAAAACCTCTCAGCCTAGGCCAGGGTGGCCTCAGAGGCTGAATTTCTGGGAGTCATTAACCTGCTGAAAGACACCCAGCCCTGTGTCCTGAGCCTGGACTGACTGACCCACCCTCCTGCCCCCAGAATGGCATGCTCTCTGGAATGGACCCTTCTCTGTAGAAAGAGACCTTTTATATTGCAACCTGGATTTTTTTTTTAATGCTGTTTTGAAAAGAGGCGGGTCCTCAACCGTCCCCTGGAGCCCTCAGAGGCCCAGGCCAGAGCTGCACGGTTCCTGTGCCCTCATGCATTGCTCTCTGATCTCCAGGCCCCAAGACCTCCTATTTGAATGGATTACTGCGTTTTTATACTGAGCGCGACTAGGTTGCCCTTTATTTTTTATTTTCCCTATTGAGTGCTGTAGATGAGGAGTGACGACAATCATGTAAATGTACTAGAACTTTTATATTAAAGGAACTTTTCCCATAGGTTCCAGGAGAGTGAACTTTTTTTCTAATAGCTGTTTCATTGACATATGGTTCATATACCATATGAGTCACTCACTTAAGTGTACAATTCAATGATTTTTTAGGATTTACAGAGTTGTGCAAGGGGAGTGAGGGTGTTTGACCCTGCTGGCTCCACCCTGACTTCCTTCTGATGGCAGAGGGAGCTCAGCATTCATTTATATGCCCAGGTGGACCCAGGTGGAGACAGACCTGCCCTCCTTTCCCTACAAATTACAAGCTGCTCTTCAGTGGAAGAGAACTACTAACCCCTTTAGCCTGGGGCTGAGCCCTACCAGCACTGCAGGCGATGTGTTTTCTGGGACAGTGGCTGCTCACTTGATTAGTATGGTAAGTGAAGATTTCCTCTTCTGTGCAGTGGGCTGTTTCAAAAGGCATGGGTTGGGGAGGACCTGGCTGTGCTACTTCCTAGCAAGTCACTTCTACTTGCCTCAGATTTTTCATGCATAAAATGGGGAGTTTTTATGGAGATGAAGTGAATGAATATCTGGTACGTGGTAAGTGCTATTTGTGTTCATTGGTAACAGCTACCATTTATTCAGTACTTTCTAGAGCCCAGTGGCGCTAACTTCAATTATTTCCATTAAGCAAATCTTCCCAGTCACCTTCTGAGGGGATTTTTCCTCCTTTAAAGAATGGCCTCATTGTATTTTTTTAAAGGCCACATGGTCATCATCTAAATCAAGCCAGATAGAAGATTAGAGGACCCACCCAGGATGCCAGTGAAATTGGAACATTCCTAACAATGGCACAGGGGCAGGAATAAGGATGAAGAGACAGGGATAGAATGATTCCAAGTATGCCTTCGTTTAAGCAAAGTTTTAACATTTTCTTTGCAATGCACCAAAAGAAAAGAATCTGTTGGGAAGCCGCAGGGATTGCTAAAGTTGAAATGTTTCCTTCCTGTAAGAGTGACTAACGCCTTAAGGCAGTGGTGCCCTGGACTGGCAGCATGAGCATTACCTGCTGAATCAGAAACTTTGCAGTCTGTTTTAACAAGCCTTCCAGGTAATTCTGTCGCAGTCAAGTTTGAGACAAGGCCCTGAAGGAAGAAGCTGAGGCTCAGACCCTGGATGCAGAAATCAAAACAGAGCAGAGCAGGGTGAGAAACCTTCCCACCTGTCCTTGGTCCATAGCATCTTAGCCTGAAGGCCAAGGCTGCCTCCTGCGTTTCCCTTGAACTGCAGCCTCTGGCTCCTGCAGCCTGATTCCACTCTACCAGGAACCTGCTGCTTTTGCTGATAAGGTGGGAGGATTAGGTGTCTCAGCCAGCAAACACCTGCTGCCCTGTATCTTAAACATCTCTCTGAGAGGTTTGAATAAAGCGTGAAATCCTATCTTCAGCAGAGACTAATAATAAAACCAAACAGCTACTGTTCAGGCTGGCCTTCCTCCCCTGAGATTTTTGGAGGGCGTCAAGGAGTAAAATGGCCTTTCATAGCCACACCTGGCCCCTGGGATAGATCTAGATTCCCTTGACGATGGAAACAGCCACCGGCTGGAGTGATCTGTAAAGAATGAACCCGGGCTCTGTGAAGGGGATGGATAGTACATCACTCACTCTGGGCCTGCTTCTCATCTGCAAAATGGGATCTTAGGACTCTGGTCTTAAGGGCCCATAATAAGAACTCAAAATATTTGCAGCTGGTGAGTCCCTAGTGCTAATTCCTCAGAGTGGGCTCTAACTGTAAGCAGCCCACGTGGCTGGCCGTACCAGGGGGACCGCCTGAATCTTTGGCTTTGCATACCCTGAATGTTGATCCTTCGCATTTTGTGGTTCAACAGTTAGGTATGCATCCTTCCAGTCTTTTTCCCTTTATGCATTACACACATTTGGCATTACACCTTTTCATAACATGACACAGGTTGCCCTATTGTCTACAACATACCTGGTTTGGATGTGTTAGCATTTATTCAATCTCATGGCTATCCACGGACATTAAGTGATTCTGGTTTTTTTCCCATAAGTGTGAAACTCTGGAGCACCCATCTTTGTAGATGGGACAGCAGACAGGACCCATCTCCCCACGTGGGCTTTGCCCAGGCCCCCAAGGGGCCTGAGGGGAATCACTCTCCTCCCTAGAAGGTGGACAGGTGGTTCAGGCCTAGAATTCCTGGCCTCCTATGATAGGCATGGCCCTCCCTTAACCTCAGGCCCACACAGGGACACAGCAAGAAGGCCCAGGCAGGCAAATGCTGGTGGCTGGCCAGTCAGGGAGGGACCCTGGGGCCAGCTGGGTGACCACCCTGCCCTGGAAGGGTGTGGAGGAAGTCCCTTTGGCAACCCATGGCCTATAGGTCCAGTTCAGACTCAGTGGGGAACTCCATGAGGCCACCTTCCTTTTGGCTAAAGGCAGAGCCTACCTCCCATCCCCACCAAAATAATTCACTAGGAGGCATGGTTCAGGGCACAGGTTCAAATCCCAGCACTTCCAGTATGATGCCATAGACAAATCTTAAGCTTTCTGTGCCTCACATCTCATCTATAATATGGAGGAGAGAATAAGTGAATAACCTGTAAAGTGCTTGTTCCCTTCTCCCTCTGGGGCCCTCTCCTCAATGCCCTTGCCCTCTTTGTGCGAGGACCTGCCATTCTCCTTTGAGGCTCAGGCGTGGCATCCTTTTTCCCACCTGGGAGCCATTCAAATTTATGAAGCGGCTAGTACAGCACAGGACACACAGCATGGACCCAATCAGTACTTGTGGAATGGAAAGCAACTAAGTTAGGAACAAAAACACAAATCAGGACTTTGGAGAAACATTCTGCAAAGCCCTCAGGAGGAAAGAGGATAAGGGAATTTTATGTATGTAAGTTCTGAGGTTTTGCTGGCATCTGAGCACTTACCACACATCAAATACTATGTGATTTACGCTGTGAGTGACAAAAAAGCCAACTCACAGTGACAGGAGTGAAGGTGTTTTATTCTTTCATAGAAGTCTGGGGGAGGCGGCCCTAGAGTTCACTCAGCAGCTCAAAACCATCCCTGGGGCCCAGGCTCTTTATTGTTCTCAGCACATTCACTTCTCATCCAGCGCTGGCTGCGGTGAGGTCCTACGGTGGCTGCTGCAGTTCCATGCGTGGAAGTGGGGGAGAGAAGGTGGAGGTGGTGGTGAAGGGCCTTGCTTTGTCTTATTCCTGGAGTGGCTCTCTCCTTCCATCAGTGCAGGACACAAAAGCACCCAGCAGCCTTCCTTCTATGCCACCTTCGTTGGAACCAGGTCGTGTGGCCACCTCTCCCTGCAGACAAGGCTTGGAGGAGAAGCACCTGGCCAGGGGGACACACTTGCAGTGACAGTGTGGAGACGGGGCCTCTGTGGGCCAGGAGGCCGACGGCTGCCCAGGAGTCGAATGCTGCCTGGCACACGGCCCTCTGGCCCTGCGTCTGTTCTCTCACTCTGGAAAGTCAGTACCAGTAGCGTCCATGAGGTTTTGAGAGAGGCAGTGACTTGCCCAGTGGTGGCAGGTTGTGCCAGCAGACACTGGAAGAGCAGCAGTTCTTCCTAACGTTATTAAAACAGGCAAATACCAGAAAGATATTTCTTCCTGATAGTTCTGACATCTCTTTCCAGTTGAGTCCTTGAAGTACAATTTTCTGCCTCAAAAAGAGGTGCAGTTTTGACTTCTGGGAGAGAGCTGTTCCTGTTTACTAAGGGGTGTCAACTATTTTGCTCAAATTGGGTGCTGGACAGTAAAGGCTCAAGTTCTCACTTCTTAGGCAATTTAATAACATAAAAGCTAGTAAAATGAGCAAACCAGGACACTGTTCTACAAATCTAGCTAGTAAGGCTCCAAAATAAAACAAACTCGCCCACTGTCAGTAGAGAATTATGTATTCTAAGAGAAACTGTGATAACAAGGACTGGATAATGGGCAAGGGTGAAAGTGAAGGGTGTATACACGTACATTCAGGATAGAAAGTCTTTTTGCTCTTATGGGAACTATTGTGTGTCAAATAAACATAGTTAAATCAAATTGTACTAGCCAGTATGAAGAAGAATTCTATATTATTTTAAGGAATAAAGAAAAAGCACAATATAAAGAGAAATATAAAAAATCACGCTGGGGAAACGGAGCAGTTGACTTGACTGCTCTGGGTTCTTGGGGAGTCACACTTAGGCACCCCAAGCACCATGATGGAGCCTGCGTGGTCTGCTACTTGGGGAGGTATTTTCTGGAACAGTCACAGCTCTTCTCCACCGGGATGCTGACCGCGTTCCTCAAGGACTCCAGAGCAGCAGAGCTGGACTCAGGTACTGCTTCAAGATGGGCCTCTCTCTCCAAGTCTGGTCAGGGTGACTGTACTAAATGTCTTGATAGAGAAGGTCATATTTGGGAACATTCTTGGGATCAATAGGACTTTGGACAGTAAGTTTTCCCCTCATTGCTCCTCGATAAATTACTTCAATCAAATCTATGAAGTCTTGTTTGGTTTTGAAACTTCCCACAAACTTAGTGTGATATGGAGACCTAGACGGCACAGAAGACAGACAGTCTCACTCAGAACTTCGAGTAATTACTTCAGGATAGACAAAAGGAATAGCAGCCCTGTTCCTTTCTTCCAGTCAGGGAGACTTAAGACACAAACCTGGCAGTGACTGTCCATCTGTGATTACAGGGTCCATTTGAAACATGACTAAACCCAGTGCTGGGGGTCCCTGGGGTAGCGAAAGCTTCGCCTTCAAAACCTCTTAATCACCTCTCAACTCACCATCAACCAGAATTCTCCGGGCGTCGGGTGCACACAGCTTTGTTGTTACTCCTTTAGGCTAGGCACTTGTAAAACCCGTTAACTAGTCATCTCTGAGTTCTCATCAGTTTTACTTTTGAGTGGTAGATATTCCTTTTTTAAAATACTATTTCGAACATCAAGTATGTTTACTCTAGAAATACTTCTGAAAAAAAATTACTAGTGAGGCCAAAGGCCACATTTTGGTGTATATCCTTCCAATTGTGTGTGTATGCATGCACAGTTCTTCTTTCACAGTCATGGGAATCACATGCAAATGATCTTGCAGTATGCTTTTTTCAACATATAACATTTCTTTCAAAGTCATTAAACACGCATCTACAATCATGAAACTCATACGTATCCAGCATTACTCTGTGGACATCTAGGTTCTTTCTAAGGACTGTGCTTTCTAAACAACAGTGGGAAGAACACCCATGCAGCCAGTATTGCCCACTGGCATGAGTATTTTCACTTTAGATAAATTCCTGGATATCCAATTACAGGGTTAAAACTTTTTACACTTTTAAAATGGTAAGTAGCGTAAAAAATCACCCTCTAAAAAGATTGCACCAAACTAATGCTTACATCAACTGTATTCTAGGAGAACAAATAGCTTTAAAATAGATAATATGTAACATGCTTGCAAAGAGATAATACAAAGCAGGCATCCAATCTAGATAAGTAAACACCTCAGCCACAGTAAAAAGTGGTAAGAATTATGGACACATTCAAAATATTAAATATTGGGATGCTGACTGGATGGAACAGAAGGCATTAAAGATATCATGTTACTTATTCTTGAGACAGACATCTCTGAAGAATGATTTTTAAATTCTCTGTGTGGCAGAAGACAGGAAACTGCTAGGAGAGAAGCATATATCAGCTTGGTGGAAGGAATACTTTTATAAATGCAGTCCCAGAAGTTGTATAAAACCAGTCCCAGAAGTTTAAGAACAATGACATATTTTTGTTTTAAATGAAATTCCTGGGAAACTTTTTTAAAAGTTCTGTATTTTCTATACCAAAGGGTGGTTAAGCTTCACAAACTGTACTATTCTTTCATACTTAAGTAGGCAGTTAAAATTTGACAATTGTACTGGAAACTGTCTTATTTTGCACCAAAGTCTTGCATAAAAAATCAGAGTGCATCCTAGCTGAGGTGAGGATTTAATAATACGGGTAAACTGGTGAAACAGTGCTGTACACTTGAAACCAATATAAGATTGTATATCAACGATACTTGAATAAAAAAAGAATTGAGTGCATCAGTTTAGAAAACAGTACCAATACAGGACTCACAAAGCCACTATCACATGACAATAGATGAGCTACTGAAACTGCTTAGATCAAAGAAACTTTTAAGGCTACAATGACTTCATGTCAATCTAACTTACCCATAATCCACTTTTCATAAGCTGCCCATTGAAGAAAAACACTGGGATGGAATATAACTGATGTCAAAATAGTGTGTATAAGCTGGAGTTTGGTCCATATCTACCAGATATATAGAGGCCATTTAACTCAAGTCAGAAGAGGTCTTAGAAAGCTGTAAATGAGGAGAGAGATGCAGGTTAAAATATGAGAGTTGCTGCTGTTTCTTCTCGGAAACTTTTTACTAGAATAGAGTATTCTGTTTGGAAAAGTTCCTGGACTAAGAATGGATTTATAAAATCCATGCTCACTTAAAAGAAAAAATTAAACCACTCAGAAATATGAACTACAGATACTGAGATTACCCCATCTTCCCTTCCAAAACCCCCATGAGTCGAAATTCTAACCAGGGTAGCAAACCCTGACATGGCACTGACTGTCCGAGTGCTCTGCACTTACTGCTCATTTGCTGTGTGCATTCTTAGGAGGTGTGCACATTGCAGTGCCCATTTCATAGGTGAGGAGACCAAGCCACAGGGAGGGAATCTGTCCCTGGCCACAGCTACTAAGCGGTGAGGCTGGGATTTGACTTCAGCTTGGCTTCAGAGTCTATACTTTTTTTTAAGGTATTATTGATATACACTTATGAAGGTTTCATATGAAAAAACAATGTGGTTACTACAATTACCCATATTATCAAGTCCCCACCCATACCCCATTGCAGTCACTGTCCATGAGTGTAGTAAGATGCCACAGATTCACTATTCCCTTCTCTATGCTACACTGTTTTCCCCATGACCCCTCACACCATGTGTACTAAACATAATACCCCTCAATCCCCTTCTCCCTCCCTCCCTCCCTCCCCACCCTCCCACACCCCTCCCTTTGGTAACCACTAGTTCATTCTTGGAGTCTGTGAGTGCTCTGTTCCTGCTGTTTTGTGCCTTCAGTTTTGCTTTGTTGTTATACTCTACAAATGAGGGAAATCATTTGGCACTTGTCTTTCTCTGCCTGACTTATTTCACTGAGCATAATACCCTCCAGCTCCATCCATGTTGTTGCAAATGGTAGGATCTGTTTCTTTCTTATGGCTGAATAGTATTCCATTGTGTATATGTACCACACCTTCTTTATCCATTCATCCACTGATGGACACTCAGATCCATATCTTGGCTATTGTAAAAAGTGCTGCAATAAGCATAGGGGTGCATATGTCTTTTTGGATCTGAGAACTTGTATCCTTTGAGTAAATTCCAAGGAGTGGGATTCCCGAGTCAAATCGTATTTCTATTTCCAGTTTTTTGAGGAACCTCCATATTGCTTTCCACAATGGCTGAACTAGCTTACATTCCCATCAGCAGTGTAGGAGGGTTCCCCTTTCTCTGCATCTTCACCAGCATTTGTTGTTCTCAGTCTTTTCGATGCTGGCCATCCTTACTGGTGTGAGGTGATATCTCATTGTAGTTTTAATTTGCATTTCCCTGATGATTAGTGATGTGGAGCATCTTTTCATGTGTCTGTTGGCCATCTGAATTTCTTCTTTGGAGAAGTGTCTCTTCATATCTTCAACCCATTTTTTAATTGGGTTATTTGCGTTTTGAGTGTTGAGGCATGTGAGTTCTTTATATATTTTGGGTGTTAACCCCTTATCGTATATGTTGTTTATAAATATATTCTCCCATACTGTAGGATGCCTTTTTGTTCTGTTGATGGTGTCCTTTGCTGTACAGATGCTTTTTAGTTTAATGTAGTCCAGTATGTTCATTTTTGCTTTTGTTTTCCTTGCTTGAGGAGATGCATTCAGGAAGAAGTTGCTCATGTTTATATTCAGGAGATTTTTGCCTATGTTGTCTTCTAAGAGTTTTATGGTTTCATGACTTACATTCAGGTCTTTGATTCATTTCAAGTTTACTTTTGTGTATGGGGTTAAACAATAATCCAGTTTCATTATCTTGCATGTAGCTGACCAGTTTTGCCAACACCAGTTGAACAGGCTGTCATTTCCCCATTGTGTATGTCCATGGCTCCTTTATCATATATTAATTGACCATATATGGTTGGGTTTATATCTGTGCTCTCTATGCTGTTCCGTTGATCTATGGGACTGTTCTCGTGCCAGTACCAAATTGTCTTGATTACTGTGGCTTTGTAGTAGAGCTTGAAGTTGGGGAGCATATTCCCCCAACTTTATTCTTCCTTCTCAGGATTGCTTTGGCTGTTCATGGTCTTTTGTGGTTTGTGGTTCCATATCAATTTTAGAACAATTTGCTCTAGTTCAATAAAGAATGCTGTTGGTATTTTGATAGGAATTGCATTGAATCTGTAGATTGCTTTAGGCAGGATGGCCATTTTAACAATATTAATTCTTCCTATGCATAAGCATGGGCTGTGTTTCCATTTATTGGTATCTTCTTTAATTCCTCTCATGAGTGTCTTGTAGTTTTCAAAGTATAGGTCTTTCACATCCTTGTTTAGGTTTATTCCTAGGTATTTTATTCCTTTTGATGCAATTGTGAATGGAATTGTTTTTTTGATTTCTCCCTCTGCTAGTTCATTGTTAGTGTATAGGAATGCAACAGATTTCTGTGTGTTAATTTTGTATCCTGCAACTTTGCTGAATTCAGATATTAGATCAAGTAGTTTTGGAGTGGATTCTTTAGGGTTTTCTATATACAATATCATGTCATCTGCAAACAGTGACAGTTTAACTTCTTCCTTACCAATATGGATGTCCTTTATTTCTTTGTGTTGTCTAATTGCTGTGGCGAGGACCTCCAGAACTATGTTGAATGAAAGTGGAGAGAGTGGGCATCCTTGTCTTGTTCCTGATCTTAAAGGAAAGGCTTATAGCTTCTCGCTGTTAAGTATAATGTTGGCTGTGGGTTTATCATATATGGCCTTTATTATGTTGAGGTACTTGCCTTCTATACCCATTTTGTTGAGAGTGTTTATCATGAATGGATGTTGAATTTTTTCAAATGCTTTTTTGGCATCTGTGGAGATGATCATGTGGTTTTTGTCCTTCTTTTTGTTGATGTGGTAGATGATGTTGATGGATTTTCAAATGTTGTACCATCCTTGCATCCCTGGAATAAATCCTACTTGATAGTAATGGATGATCTTTTTGATGTATTTTTGAATTCGGTTTGCTAATATTTTGTTCAGTATTTTTGCATCTATGTTCATCAGAGATATCAGTCTGTAATTTTCTTTTTCTGTGGTGTCTTTGTCTGGTTTTGGTATTAGAGTGATGCTGGCCTCATAGAATAAGTTTGGAAGTATTCCCTCTTCTTCTACTCTTTGGATAACTTTAAGGACAATGGGTATTAGGTCTTCACTAAATGTTTGATAAAATTCAGCGGTGAAGCCATCTGGTCCAGGCGTTTTGTTCTTANTGTTTATTTTCTCAAAGAACCAGCTCTTGCTTTCACTGATTCTTTCTATTGTTTCATTCTTCTCAATTTTATTTATTTCTGCTCTAATCTTTATTATGTCCCTCCTTCTACTGACTTTGGGCCTCATTTGTTGTTCTTTTTCTAGTTTAATTAATTGTGAGTTTAGACTGTTCATATGGGATTGTTCTTCTTTTCTGAGGTAGGCCTGTATTGCAATATACTTTACTCTTAGCATGGCCTTCACTGTGTCCCACAGATTCTGTGGTGTTGAATTATTGTTGTCATTTGTCTCCATATATTGCTTGATCTCTGTTTTTATTTGGTCATTGATCCATTGGTTATTTAGGAGCATGTTGTGAAGCCTCCATGTGTTTGTGGGATTTTTCATTTTCTTTGCGTAATTTATTTCTAGTTTCATACCTTTGTGGTCTGAGAAACTGGTTGGTACAATTTCAACCTTTTTGAATTTACCAAGGCTCTCTTTGTGGCCTAGTATATGATCTATTATTGAAAATGTTCCATGTGCACTTGAGAAGAATGTGTATTTTGCTACTTTTGGGTGTAGATTTCTGTAGATGTCTGTTAGGTCCATCTGTTCTAATGTGTTGTTCAGTGCCTCTGTGTCCTTACTTATTTTCTGTCTGGCTGATCTGTCCTTCAGAGTGAGTGGAGTGTTGAAGTCTCCTAGAATGAATGCATTGCATTCTATTTCCCTTTTTAATTCTGTTAGTATTTGTTTCACATATGTAGGTGCTCCTGTGTTGGGAGCATAGATATTTATAATGGTTATATCTTCTTGTTGGATTGGCCCCTTTATCATTATGTAATGTCTTTCTTTGTCTCTTATGACTTTCTTTGTTTCTAAGTCTATTTTGTCTGATACAGGTACTGCAACTCCTGTTTTTTTCTCCCTATTAGTTGCATGAAATAGTTTGTTCCATCCTTTTACTTTTAGTCTGTGTATGTCTTTGGGTTTAAAGTGAGTTTCTTGTAGGCAGCATATATATGGGTCTTGTTTTTTTTATCCGTTCAGTGGCTTTGTGTCTTTTGATTGGTGCATTCAGACCATTTACATTTAGGGTGATTATTGTAGGTATGTACTTAGTGCTATTGCAGGCTTTAGATTCGTGGTTACCAAAGGTTCAATGTTAACTTCCTTACTAAGAGTCTAATTTAACTCACTTAGTATCCTATTACAAACACAATCTAAAGGTTCTTTTTTTTCTCCTCCTTTTTCTTCCTCCTCCATTCTTTACATATTTACTGTGGTTTTATTACCTCTGGTGATGGCTATTAAACCTTGAACACTTCCATCTATAGCAGTCCCTCCAAAATATACTGTAGAGATGGTTTGTGGGAGCTAAATTCTCTCAGATTTTGCTTATCTGGAAATTGTTTAATCCCTCCTTCATATTTAAATGATAATCTTGCCAGATAAAGTATTCTTGGTTTGAGGCCTTTCTGCTTTATTGCATTAAATATATCATGCCACTCTCTTCTGGCCTGTAATATCTCTGCTGAGAAGTCTGATGATAGCCTAATGGGCTTTCCTTTGTATGTGATCTTATTTCTCTCTCTGGCAGCTTTTAATAGCTGTCCTTATCCTTGACCTTTGCCATTTTAATTATTATATGTCTTAGTGTTATCTTCCTTGGGTCCCTTGTGTTGGGAGATTTGTGCACCTCCATGGACTGAGAGACTATTTCCTTCCCCAGATTGAGGAAGTTTTCAGCAATTACCTTCTCAAAGACACTTTCTAACCCTTTTTCTCTCTTCTTCTTCTGGTACCCCTATAATACGAATATAGTTCCGTTTGGATCGATCACACAAGTCTCTCAATATTCTTTCATTCTTTTTGTGTGTGGGGGGGGATATAGAATAATTCTTTCATTCCTGAGATGAATAACCACTTGGTTATGATGTATTTATCATGTTTATATTTTATTGGGTTTGCTTTTGTTTGATTGAGGATTTTTCCCTCCACGTTCATGTGGGACATTAGTCTGTAGTTTTCTTTTCTGTCTTTGGTGTTAGAGTAATTCTGGCTTCATAAAAAATAATTGAAAGTATCATCCCTCTTCTGTTTTCTGGAACAGATTGTGTGGAGTGTTTTTTTTCTTTAAATATTTGGTAGGATCACCAGTGAATTAATTTAGGCCTGAAATATTCTGTGGAAAAGATTTTAACTGCAAATTCAATTTCTTTACTAAACATAGGACTGTTCAGGTTATTTCTTCTTGGGTTTCAATAGTCTATGTACTTTGGGAAACTGATAATTTCTTCTGAGTTGTAGAATGTATGGACATAGTGCTGTTTACAGCTTTCCTTATTATCCTTTGAATAGCTGTGGGATCCATCATGATGTCCCCTCTTTCATTCCTGATATTCATAATTTATGTCTTTCCCTGTTCATTTTTAGCCTGGCTACTGTTTTATTTGTTCTTTTTTGTAAAAAATATAAATTTTGGTTTAATTGTCTATTTTTGTTTTACTTTTAATTTCATTTTTTCTACTCGTCTTTATCATTTCCTTACCTCTGCTTTAGGTTTAAATTGCTAATTTTTTTTCTAACTTACTAAGTGAATGAATTTAGATATTTCTTTTCTAATGTATACAATTAATGATATAAAATTCTCTCTAGTCACTGATTCAGCTGTATCCCATTAATTTCAGTGTATTGCATTTCTAGTTTGATGTAGCTTAAAGTGTTTTCAAAATTTATATACAGATGTATACTTCCTATTTGACCCCATGCACTATCTGGAAGTGTATGGTTTAATTTCAAATGGAGGATTTTCTAGATACCTTTATTATTGATTTCTTCTTTAATTCTGTTATTGTCCTGTAACATACTTTGTGTGCTTTCTACTCTTTTAAATTTATTCAAATTTCTTTTATGACTCAGAACATGTACTTTGTTGATGAATGTTCCATGTGCACTAGAGAAGAATTATTCTCATGTTTAGTGGAATGTACTATAAATATTAATCAGGTAAGTTATTTGACAGAGTCATCCATATTCTTACTGATTTTCAGCTCCTTGTTCCATGAATTACTAAGAGGAGTATTAGAATCTCCAACTATAATTGTGGATTTTTGTTTTTCCTTTTAGATTTGTCATTTTTTGTCTCATATTTTGAAGAAAGCATATATATCTACAACTATTATCTTCTTGGAGAACTGACACCCTTAATGTTATATAATGTTCTTCTTTATCTCTGATAGTACTGATTGTTTTGAAATATATTGCATCTGAAATAAGTACAGCTACTCCAGTTTTCTTTGGTTAACATTGTCACTGTATCTTTTTCCATCCCTTTAGTTTAACCTATGTTTTTATATTCACAGTAGCTCTTGAAGATGGCATATAGTACATTTGTATACAACCTGACATTTCATTTTTGCAACCCTTGTGTTGAAATCCTTCATGTTCAAAGTACTAATTTATCTGGTATGAACAAAACACTTAATCTTGCTAGGTGTTTTCTATTTGTTCCATTTGTCCATTTGTTCTTTATCTTCTTCTGTTTCCTTAGGGCTTAATTGAACAGTTTTTCTTTTATTTTATATTTTATTGACTTGTTGACTTATATCTCTTTAAAATATCTTTATATTTTTTCTTCCTTTCCGGGCTTGGCTCCTTGCTTTGCTCCCCTTCTCCCTGCTCCTTCCCCTCCCCCTCTCCTCTCCCCCCTTCCCCTCTCCTTTCCCTCCTTCCCCTCCCCCTCTTCTCCCCTCCTTCCCCTCCCCCTCTACTCTCCCCTCCTTCCCCTTCCCCTCCCCCCTCCTTCCTATTCTTTCATTTGTAGAGATCCTTTTTTCTCTCTGTGCCTCAGCTTCTTTGAATTCCTCTTCTCTGATTTCTATTTCATTTATCATCTCCTCCACTGTATCTAACCTCCTTTTAAAACCTTCCATTGTATGTTTCATTTCTGATACTGTGTTCCATAGTGATTGGGTCTCTGACCAGAATTCATTCCTGAGTTCTTGAATATTTTTCTGTACCTCCAATGAGCATGTTTATGATTTTTATTTTGAAATCTCTTTCAGGAGGATTCATGAGATCAATTTCATTTGACTCTTTCTCTGGGGTATTTATAATTTTGCTTTGTACCAGGTTCCTTTGACATTTCATATTTGTATGTGGTGCCCTCTAGTGCCCAGAAGCTCTGCTCTCTGGAGCAGCTCAGTCCCTGGAGCAATGTCGGGTGGCAGGAGAGCAGTGTTGGTGCCTCGGGGGAGGAAAGAGCTGTTTCCTCTTTTCCAGCTGCTTTGTCTGTCTCCACTGCCAGAACCAGTGGGCAGAGCACACAGGTAAAAGCCTCTATGCTTTGTGTTTGTAGCTGCTGTAGGCAGGGCTTCCCTCTGGCTGGCCTAATGCCAGGTCAGGGTTTGCTGGTTTGCGAGCCAGGTGGGGCTGGCTGTGAGGAAGGCCGCAGTATCACAGAGGTGGGCCTTGGAGCTGCATAGCCAGCCATGGGGCTGTAGTGCCTGATGATCATGAAAGTTCCCCCTGTTCCGTGAGGTTTATTCTTTTCTCCAGGTGTATGCAGTCTGGCACAGCCCTCTTTCCTGTTGTTCTTTCAGGATTAGTTGTATTAATTATATTTTCGTATTATATGCGGTTTTAGGAGGAAGCCTCTGTCTCATCTCTCATGCTGCCATCTTTAATCGCTCAGCAATCCAGTCTATACTCTTGACCTCTGTGATCTTCCCTCCCACTACAGCTGAGGGTACAATCCTCTGGCCCCTTGGCCCAAGGTTACCATATATTACTGACCCATTTTTAATCACAACAGTGAGGATTCTTGCACTGGATCCACACTGCTCAGCAGCAGAAATAGTGAGAAGAGATCTTAGACCTTGGGTAAGTCTCTCTAATAAATGGAGACAGATTAAGTCTCCTGTGTCCCATACTCCCCTACTCATCAATGTGAAGATGTGTAGGGTAATCAGAGATTTTCATCAGGTAGCATACTAGACAAGTGCATTTGCAGGCAGAGAAAACAAATTCAAATCCCAGCTCTTCAATTTAGTGGTTTTGTGTCCGGGAAGTCACCAGACCTCCCTGGCATTCATCTCATCTCCCACCTTGCAAACAGTAATTATCTCACTGCTGTGAGCAGCAAATAAAATAATGTTCATAGATGCTTGTTAATAATGTGTGTTTCTGGTCTTCTATTGCCTTGGTGGTGAAACTGAGTTTCCACAGCTGCCAGTGGGGAAGAACGTCCAGAAGGGGATCAGCATAATCACAGATTTGGGAGTTCAGCTCAGGGCAGGCACATGATAAACTCTAAGTGAAAATGTGTTAACGAATGAACAGCTATATCCCTGGGCTCTGCCTGCTCCTTTTCATGCACTTTGCAGATGTTGAAGTGAGAAGGCATAGATTTTTAGGAAAGTATTTACCTAAAAAATTCACTTACAATATCATCTAGCTGCAGACAGACAGGATCCTCATCTCTCCCAAACCTGAGAACCAACACCTTCTCTGCAGTACTTTTTATTGCCTGGTCCACTTCTTTTTTGCTAGTCAGCTTGGGCAAGAGGAAGCTCATCTTGAATCCAAATGTTAATTCTCACTGTCAGTCCTGAAATTAATTTTTGGAGTAGGTAATAAATATTTTCTTTCAAAAGGGATTCATACAATGCAGTATCAAAAAAGTAAAAGCAACCCACTAAACACAGGAACTGGTGACAAGTAAGAACACAGTTTAAAAAGAAACATTGAAGAAAGGCATACTATGAAAAATCTTCTGTCTCCCCTCATCTAGCCCAGCTCCCACTGCCCTATTTCTCCCCACACCAGGGAACTCTTTCATTAGTTTCTCATGTATCTTCTAGTTTTGCTATGCATTCACAAGAAAATACAAATATACATTCCTACTAACTCTTTTACCCAAAAGATAGCCTATTCTGTAAGTCGGGGTTCTACAAGGAAAGAGATGACATCCTCAAATTTGGTAATGTGAAGAGACTTTCATTAAGGCAAGTTGTAGAAAACAAGGTGTAGTGCTGTACTCTGGGACTAGTAACAGGGTGGCGCTATTCCCACCCCTAGGCCTCAAGGAGTCATGGGAGGGAGTAGTTACCAGAATCCTGTGGCTGAGATGGCTGAGTGGAGAAGGCTGCTGCATAGGTTAGCCTGCAGCTAAGGGATGCCACCATTCTCCTCCCTCCCTCTGGTCTCCTGCTAATGTTCCCACTGGCCGACTCCAATAAGAAGCAGAGGCAGGCAAGCCTCCTGGTCCCAGAGCACTTCAGCGGAGGAAGAGTGGATCTGGAGGGGCACATGACAGATGCCCAGCACACATACCTTACCCACTCTTCTACAATTTGCACTTTAGCTATATATCTTCCCATATCTCTATATAGAAAATTCACACATCGTTTGTCACAACAGCATACAATTTCATGCATTTACCACGCCTTTTAAACAGTCATTTATTAGTGGACATTTGTATTATCATGAGTCCTGGTTTAAAAATTCTTGGTATCTTACTGGATGCACCTCATCACATGGCAAACAGATAATTTAAGAGTATGAAAACCACACACAAATCATAAAATACTGATGTGAAAGGGGCAAATCCTAGTCTAACCCCCACATTTTCATATTAGTTTGCTTACAGTTACAGTTTTAGCAACATGAACAAGGCCATCAAATTTCCAGTCCTTTTACTACAATAAGCTCCTATTCTTATGGTTGAGAAAGTCTTCGATCAAAAGCTTCATTTTTGAGTCCATTCATGGGAGACTCCATTGAGATACTTGGTATTTTGAATTCAGTTCCAAAGCTGGCTAATGTTATGAAAAGGGAGGATTACTCTCTCCCTCCCTCCCTTTCTTGTGATGTTACATTTTAATATATGAATTAATAACACTTCATATAGGAAATTAAATTGTTCCAGGAAGAGGTCATACTTTAAACAGGAAATCTGGTTGCAACAAGGGACTTTATCAAATGTGAGTAGCAGAACAAATTCCTTATGGAAGGGAAAGCAGAAGAGAAGGTGGATCAGTCCTACCACTAGAATTCAAGTGAATAGCAACTCCTGTATGTTATTGATAAACAGGAGGAAGTGAGCAGAAGGCAAAATTGTCACAGGGCAAGTGAATGGATAAATACTGAAAGGAGGAGAGGGAAACAGATCACACTTAAGAAAATGTCCAAAGCAAAGGATCCCAACAGAGACTTCACCAAGGAGGAGGTAAATATATTTGGAAAGTTAACCTTTACTAGTAAGCAAGGAAAAGCAAATTAAAAGACAATTAAATAGCATTAAATTGGAAAAGATCAATAATGGCAAGACTGTGAATGAAAGAGCAAGCATTCATAGTCCCTTCTGGAATGCAGAGAAGCAAAACTTTATGAGAAAGTTGAAATAACTTCGACCAGCAGTTCCATTATTGAGAATTAGTTCTTAGTTAATAATCAAGCATGTGCACAAAGATTTATGTACGATATGTATTCATCATATTTATAATGGTCTAAAACTGGAAACAACCTAAATGGCCACCATAGGGGATTGGTGAAATAAAAGTACAATTCTGCAAAGTGCTGTTATACAGCCACTAAATATTGTGTTATATGTGCCCGTTCACAACTGAAAAGTTCTCATGATAGAGACGTTATGAAACAGTAGACAGTGTAATTCCACTTTTGTACAAAATCCATATAATGCATCTGTACATATTTTTGGTAGAAAAATAACTGGAAATAAATATCCCCAAACTCTGCCACTGGTTCTCTGCCAGCGGCCAGGTGATTATTTACGTCGGTGCGTGCGTCCTTATTTTTCCAAAATACTCGTTGTATAGTTTTTATACAATGCCTGTGGTTGGGCTACTCCTGGCCCAAAACTGCTAGGGAAGACGATACTTACTTTATTTGTACAAGTCACCTCCCTCTTCCACTTCACGACCGCCAGCAATCCCAGCCTCTTGTCCAGAGAGTAGGGACCCTGGCGGCTCCGTTCTTCCGTCCCATCCGCCACAGCAGCCCTAACCCCAAGCATCTCCCAAATGTTGCACAGCAACCATCGAAGGTTCCCTGAAGGAGACGGAAACGGAAAAAGAAAATGCACAGGCGCAGGGGATGAGCGCGTGGGCGCCTTTGGGCCGAGCCTCGGAGGAGACGCTCTAGGCTGGCGGGCCCGGAGCGTTCCGTCGCACGTCCGTGCCGGGAGCCGCCGTTTCCGGGCTGCCCTGGATGGCCTCCTTGGGCGGCTAGTGGGGGCCGTGCAAGGCATTATGGGACAACCATGGCGGCTCTCGAAGTGTGGCTCCCGACTCTCTGAGGCCGTTTCAGCGAGGAGTGCTGGCGCCCAAGCCCTAGAATCTGGGACGGGGGTCCCCGAGAGTCGGCCGTGGTGAGGTGGGTGTCTCCTCTTCCCTCCCGACTCTCCCATCGCCAGTCACGGCGGCTCCAGGCGGCGGTTCTCGGTCCCTCGCTCGGGTCCGGGCCCGGGTGTGTGAAGTCCGGGCCCTGTCACCCGGCGTGCCTTACTCGCCCCGGGGATGCTGTGCGGGGCCGGCCGGCCCAGGCCTTGCTCCTCGCCCTGCTCAGATCCTGCCGCCCGGCGCGGCCCCACTGAGGTCCAGGGGGCTGCCGGGGGTCGCCCTCACGCTTCCTCAGGCCTCCACCTTAGCCCGCTCGGAGACTGGTGCCCAGGGCTCCCTGTGTAGGCTGGTGCCTTCCTCGTGTTTGTCACGGTGGTATTTATACCACTGCCTCTTCTGTTAGAGTGTCAAGTCCAAGAGGGCGAGGAGTTTTGTCTTGTTCTCTGCTGTCTCTATTGCCAGGAACAGTGATGGGCTCCCAGAAGGCACTCAATAAATAATTGTTGAATGAATCAATCCAGTTTCGTTCTTCACTGTTTTTTCGTACCGCATGTGGCTTCTTCACCATTCATCCTTCCCCAGAATCCAGCGCCTGAACTCTATTTCTTCTCAGCCCCTAGTTAAGCCCCATCTGTCAGACTCCCTCTTATGCTGTTAGTAGTTTCCCTGCTGTCTTAGGAATGTTTTGCTTCCTGTTCTTTTGTCAGTTTACATTCATTTATTTGTTCATCAAAGGTTCATTTTGCTAGGCACTGGGCACAGCATCAACAAGACAGACAAGGTTCTCTTAACTGCATAGAATGGCATTATAGGGGTATGTTTTCTAGTCCAGACCACTGCTGAGCAGAACCTGTATATCTATCTCTACTTGCCTGTTTAGATTTCCTACATGCATACAGATGTCACCAATATGCAGCTTACCCTTTTTTCTTCTGCTTGATGGCATTTTTTCACAATGCATCTCTTGTTTCTGTGCCCATTAGTATATGTTTTCTTCAGATTTGTGGGGAATGTTCAAAGCTGACTGAAGAGTACATGATGGAGCTTAGCTATGCTTCGGGTTGTTGCTGGATGTAAGCCTGCTATTCTAGGGAGATAAAGTGGGAAAGGACAGGTCAGCCAGCCAGAGGATTGGGGGCAAGTTTTCCTCCTGTGGAGGGGCCCTTTACCAGTCACCCTCCCTGCTTCAGACATTATCGACCTGCTCGGGTAGAGACTCCATCCCACCCTGGTGGTGTGAGTGAAGAGTTTCGGGAACGCAGTAGGCAGAGAGAGCGGGAGCGCCAAGAACATGGCGTCTATGCCTCATCCAAAGAAGAAAAGGATCGGAAGGAGAGATCGCGGGACCGAGACTGTGACCGCAAGAGAGAGAGAGGTGAGCTGCCCAGCATAGTTCCTGTGGCCCGTTAAACACTTCAATTTACATGTTGGCCTCTTCCTGTCGCAGGAGTTTTTATGACACCTGTTAATCGGGGAGCCCTATTTGCATAATGTCAGCCCGGTTGTTTTTGACCCTCTTGGGACTGGGACTAGCAGGCAGTTTAGGAGCTGTTACTTGCAGCAGAGCTGCTTGGCTTGAGTGTGGGTTCTCTTCTTATTATGAAAATGGATGACAAAAGTGATAATGGATGATATGTATAAGAAACCAGAGTTTACAATAGTGTTGCTGATAGAGAAAGGACAGTGCTAGGGAGCAAGGCTAGACACAGAGCACTGGATATCAGTGCTGGCTTTGCTCAGTATTATTTTAAGTTTTGTAGCTTATAGACTTGTAACTATTAAACAGCTATTCAGTATATAGACTTGTAACTATTCTTTTTTGAATTTTTGCAGGAAAATAACTGTTACTGTGAGTTTGAAACTTTCTAGACAGTAACTATTTTTCCCTTGAAAGAATGGGGATATGTGAGTTTCAGGAGCCCATGGATCGCATTAGAGCAGTGCAGGTTGCACCTGTGAGTGAGTTGGAAGGCCTGTCCTTTCTCTAGGGTGAAGACGGGTGAAAGTTAGGGCGGGGCACATGTTTTCTAAGCTCTGTGTGTGACTCTTGACAGATGAACGGGATAGAAGCAGGCATAGCAGCAGATCGGAGCGAGATGGAGGGTCAGAGCGCAGCAGAAGAAATGAACCAGAGAGCCCGCGACACCAGCCTAAAGGTAAACCGAGCCGTTGCTGTGATTGTGAGGGGTCAAGTACAAAAGGCAGGGTGAGCGACCCCCATCCTCAGTGGGATTGTTGTGGGCCAAGTCAGAATTCCTGATTCCACCATGAATTTCTTGGAATACTTGGTTCTGAGTGTTGTGGGAAGGCCCTGGACCTCTCTCTGTTGCAATGGATTTAAGGTGCTGGGCTGCTTTGCTGAATGTCCAGTTTTCCAAATGGCAAGAAAGAATAGGGACCTGGGGAACAGAAAAAGGATTTATTAAAAAGAATTATTTGTATTCCAGAGGGGTACATTTGCAGAGATAAAGTGGGTATTCGTTAAAATGTTATGCACAGATGAAATGTGCATAAATGATATTTCAGGATATTCCTTAAAATGTTATAGAACTGAACCCTTAAAATTCAGGTATCTTTAAAAACTGTCAGAACCATCTTACCCATTACAACAAGTTTATAAATGGTAAAAGAAAGAAATTTTGGGAATTGACTTTTCGCTAGTAGTTGTGGAATCATGTGCTGGTTAAATTGAATGCATCCTGTGAATGTGTCTTTTGTGGCCTCAGATGCAGCCACTCCTTCAAGGTCAACGTGGGAGGAAGAGGACAGTGGCTATGGCTATGGCTCCTCAAGACGCTCTCAGTGGGAATCGCCCTCCCCAACACCTTCCTATCGGGATTCTGAGCGGAGCCATCGGCTGTCCAGCCGCGATCGGGATAGGTGATGTTCTGGGTGGAACAGCCCAGTTTCTCTGGGTGGGTGGCAGAGGGCGGGCCTGATGAGGGCAGATGACGGCTGGGAACATGGCTCAGCTTAGTGACTGCTGGTGATACTGACTCTGCTGTTTCCCAGGGTCTGTGAGGAGCAGGTACTCAGATGACACACCTCTGCCAACCCCATCCTACAAATACAATGAGTGGGCTGATGACAGAAGACACCTGGGCTCCACGCCCCGTCTGTCCAGGGGCCGAGGTAAGGCCGCTGGAAGTAGGAGGCAGCAAAGCAGGGCTGCTCATTCCAGTGAGGCTGCACAGAGCTCTGGAGCTGTGTGGCTTTGCAGTCTGTTGGTGGCCACTGGAGAGAAGCTGGGGTTGTGTGGACTCACCTGCTACATGTTCCCCTGCAGGACGCCGTGAGGAGGGCGAAGAAGGAATTTCATTTGACACAGAAGAGGAACGGCAGCAATGGGAGGATGACCAGAGGGTAAAAACCTGACACCTTGGAGGGATCGAATGAGGGGTGGTAGGGTGGTAGCCTCCATAGGTGGGTGGGTGACAGGAGGTGTCAGAGTACAAGGACATGAGTGATGCTGTGGTGGAACTGGACTTTGATGCGGGCGGTTGACACTGGACAGTTTCAGGGAAGCTGAGCCTTGTTATGTGTCAAAGCCCTGGAATCTCTTTCCAGAGGCCCAGGCTGCAGGGGAAACGTCCCACCTAGTGCAGGTCAGAACTAAGGTCTTCAGTTGTGTTGGTGCCACCACGCGGTACATCTGGGAAGTGCTGTCATGATCAGCCATTTAAAGGCTTAGTGCATACAGCTGGCACTGCAGCTCTCCTCCAGAAAGCTCATCTTGGAGCGGGTGATCGCTTCTGCACCTCTCGCGAGGGTTGCTCCACCGCGCCAGTGACGCCTTACCAAACCTCTCGTCCCCTTCGGACCATGTCTTGTGCATAAGCCATCTGTCCCTTGTTCTCACTGCCTCGTCTCACGTCCTGCAGCAAGCTGACCAGGATTGGTACATGATGGATGAGGGATATGATGAGTTCCATAACCCCCTGGCCTGCTCCTCTGAGGACTAAGTGGGGCGGTGGGAGCAGCATCTTCACAAACAGAAGCAGAACCGTATTTCGGCCCAGCGGAAACAGATCAATGAGGTGAGGCTGCCTGCAGTGGTTGGGGCAGGTTCAGCTGGAGCTGGGGGCATGTGGGAGAAGCAGCGGGTCACGTCCCTGTGAGGATGGCACAGCTTGTCTCCCCGTTGCTGACGTACCAGATGTAGGGATGCCTCTGTAGGTGGAGGAGTGAGTGTGGAACCTTCCAGTAGCTTAGGAGAAAACTCCAACTCCTGACTTCCCTGTTTTGCAGCCCTTCCTTGCGAGGTGCTGTTGATGGGAACTGGTAGGGTGGGGCCTGGCTCAGGGGTCTGAGTGGGGCTCAGGACAGTCAACATCTGTACGTCCACCTAGAGGTTCTGACTTAGAAATAAAGTGCTGCTTCTTGGAAAAAGAAGTCAAGTTGGAGTTGGAGTCAAGTTAAAAGGTGATTGGGATCAGCAGCTCTTCTGTCTAAGGAGCTGCAGGGTGGAGAGGCCAGTGCCACCTCTGTAGCCCCATGACCCTTCTCTCTAGGCTTGATGTGTGGTCTTGCCTGGTGGCCTTTCAGGATGGCCTGTGGGTGCAGTCTGGGCGTGGCTCCCATTGTGTTCGCTACCATGGAATTAAGCTAGAAATCAACAATGGCAAAATAATTTAAACATCTCCAAATGTTTGGAAATTCAGCAACATATCTCTAAATAAAAACCATGCAACAAGCAAGACATAAAATGGAAATTTAAAAATGTTAAATTGATTGATAAAAAATACAATATATTAAAACTTATGGATAAAGGTAAAGCAATGTGTAGAGAAAAATATGTAATTTTAAGTGTATGTATTAGAAATGAAAAGCCAAAGTAGATATGTTTCTGCTTTAAGATTGAAAAAGAACGTTAAAAAAACCTGAATTAAATAAAAAAGCAAAAGAGGAAATAATAAAGATAAGAGTGGGAATCATTGAAATATAAAAGAAACCAACAATAGAGAAAGTCAACTGAGGCAAAAGTTTGAATTTTGAAAAGATTAATAAATTGTTAAATCCTTGCAAGATTTTTCAAGAAAAAAAAGCATGAATTTTCAGTATCAGGAATGCAGCAAGAGACATCACCGTTAACCTTACTGATATTAAAAATATAATAAAGTAATGTTGGGAAGGACTTTATGCCAGTAAATTTGACAACTTTGCTGAAATGGGCCAATTTCTAGACAAACACAACTTACCAGTAAGGAAAAAAAAGTCTGCATAGGCCTTTATAAAAGAAACTGAATCTGAGTTTTAGAAAGTATTTATTGAGGTATGATTGACATATAATATTAGTTCAAGGTGTACAATATAGTGATTTGATATTTGTATTCATTGTGAAATCATCCCCACAGTAAGTCTAGCTACTTGTCACCATAGAAATTTAATACAATATTATTACCTATATTCCCCATGCTGTACAGTACACCCCATGATTTATTTATTTTAAAACTGGAGGTTTGCATTTCTTAATCCTCTTCAAGCATTTCATACCCATCACCCATCATGCCCCCTCTGGCAGCCACAATCTGTTCTCTTTATCCCTGAGTCTGGGTTTTATTTGTTTTTTTTTTCCACATATAAGTGAAATCATGTGGTATTTGCCTTTGTCTGACTAATTTCACTTGGCATAATACTCTCAAGGCCTATCTTTGTTGTCACGAATGGCAAGATTTCATCTTTTTAATGGCTGAGTAATATTCCATTCTATATGTATGTGTGTGTGTGTGTATATATATATGTGTGTAGATATATATATATATATACACATATTCACACCACATTTTCTTTATCCACTCATTTGTCAGTGGCCCCTTAGGTTGTTTCCGTATCTTGACTATCATAAATAATGCTACAATGAACATAGGGTACATGTATCTTTTCAAATTAGTGTTTTTGTTTTCTTTGGATATAGATACCCAATGGTGGAATTGCTATATCATATGGTAGCTTTTTTTAAGTTTTGTGGACCCTCCATATGTTTTCAATAGAGGCTGCACAAATTTAAGTCTGCCAACAGTATATTACGGTTCCCTTTTCTCCACATCTTCGTCAACACTTTTTGTTTCTTGTTTACTTGATAATAGCCATTCTGACAGGTGTGAGGTGATATCTCATTGTGGTTTTGATTTACATTTTCCTGATGGTTAGTGATGCTGAGCGTCTTTTCATGTGTCTATTAGCCATCTGTAAGTCTTCCTTAGAAAAATGTCTATTCAATTCCTCTGCCCATTTTTAAATTGGATTGTTGTTTGTTATTGAGTTGCACGAGTTCTTCATGTATTTTGGACATTAACCACTTATTGGATACATGATTTGTAAATACGTTCTTCCATTCAGGTTTTTGTTGATGGTTTCCCTTGTTGTGCAGGTTTTCAATTTGATGTAGTCCCATTTATTTATTTTTGCTTTGTTTCCCTTGCTTTTGGAGTTGGAGTCAAGAAAATATCACTAAGATCAATGTCAAGGAGCTCACTGCCTATGTTTTCGTCTAGAAGTTTTATGGGTTTCAGGTCTTACATTCAAGTCTAATCCATTTGGAATAATTTTTGTATATGGGGTAAGACAGTGGTCTAGTTTTATTCTTTTGCATGTAGCAATCTACAAATTCAGTGCAATTCCTATCAAAATTCAGTAACATTTTTCACAGAACTAGAACAAATAATTTAAAAATGTATATGGACCCACATAAGACCCCAAATAGACAACACCATCTTGAGAAAGAAGAACAAAGATGGAGGTATCACACTTCCTGATTTCAAACTATACTACAAAGTTATAGTAATCAAAGCAATATGGTTTTGGCATAAAAACACACATAGGAGAGTGGAACTGAATACAGAGCTCTGTATTAAACCTACATATATGGTCAAGTAATTTATGACAGTAAGCAAGAATATACAATGGGGAAAGGATAGTTTTTGTGTAGCATGTATATTCTAACAACATTAATTCTTCCAATCCATAAGCATGGAAATATCTTTATTTGTGTCTTCAAATTTTTTGATCAATGTCTTACAGTGGGAAATGTACAGGTTTTTCACCTCCTTGGTCAAATTTATTCCTAAATATTTTATTCTTTTTGATGTAATTGTTTTCTTGATTTCTCTTTCTGGTAGTTCATTATTAGTGTATAGAAATACAGTAGATTTTTGTATATTAATTTTATATCCTTCAACTTTACTGAATTCATTTATTCTAACAGTTTTTGTTGCAGTCTCTACATAGTATCATGTTATCTGGAAATATTGATGGTTTTACTTCATTCTTTCCAATTTATATGATTTTTATTTCCTTTTATTGCCTGTTGCTGTTGCTAGAATTTCCAAGATGATGTTGAATAAAAGTGGAGCTAGTGGGCATCCTTGTCTTGTTCCAGATCTTAAAAGGAATGCTTTCAGCTTTTCACTGTTAGGATATTAACTGTGGATTTATCATATGTGACCTTTTTTATATTGAGGTATGTTCCCTCTATGCCCTCTTGTTGGGAGTTTTTATCATAAATGGGTGTTAAATTCACCATTTGTTTTTTCTGAATATTTTAAGGTGTCATGTTATTTTTTATTTCATTTTGTTAATGTGGTATATCACTTTGGTTGATTTGTGGGTGTTAAACCATCCTTGTATCTCTGGAATAAATGCCCTTGATTATGGTGTATAATCCTTTTAATGTATTGTTGGATTTGGTTTCCTCAATATTCTGCTGAGAATTTTTGGATCTGTGTATGCAAAGATATTGGTCTTTGATTTTCTTTTTTTGTGTTGTTCTTATCTTGTTTTGGTATCAGGCTAATGTTGGCCCTTGTAAAATAAATATGGAAGCTTTCTTTACTCTTCAGTTTTTTGGAAGAGTTTGAGGATAGGTATGAAATCCTTGAATGTTTAGGAGAATCACCAGTGAAGACTCTGGTCCCAGACTTTTGTTTGTTGAGAGGCTTTTGATTACTGATTCAATCTCCTTACTAGTAATTGATCTTTTCAAATTTTCTATTTCTTCATGTCTTGCAAGATTGTAAATTTCTAGGAGTTTATCCATTTCACCTAGGCTGTCCAGTCTGTTGGCACATAATTGTTCACAGTAGTCTCTTCTGATCCTTTTTGTTTCTGTTTTATTATTTTAACTTCTCTTTCATTTCTGATTTTATTTACTTGAGCCCTCTTTTTTGGTGAGTCTAGCTAATGGTTTGTCAATTTTGCTTATCTTTTCAAAGAACCAGCTCTTAGTTTCATTGATCTTTTCTATTGTCTTTTTAGTCCTATTTCACTTATTTCTGTTCTGATCCTTCTTATCATCTTCTACTAACTTTGGCTCTGCTTGTTCTTCCTTTTCTAGTTCCTTTATGTGTAAAGTTAAATTGTTTGAGATGTCTTGTTTTTTCACGTAGCACTGTATTGTTATGAATGTGCCTCTTAGAAGAGCTTCTGTCACCTTCCATAGGTTTTGGTATACTGTACTTCTGTTTTCATTTGTTTCTAAGTATTTTTTTTATTTCTCCTTTGATTTCTTCTATGACCCAGTAGTTGTTCAGTAACCTGTTGTTTAATCACAATTTATTTGTACTTTTTCCAGTTTCCTTGTAATTCATCTCTAGGTTCACACCATTGTGTTTGGAAAAGATGCTTGATATGATTTTAATCTTGAATTTATTGAGACTTGTTTTGTGGGCTAACATGATCTATCCTGGAGAATGTTCCATGTGCACTTGAGAAGAATGTGAATTTTTCTGCTTTTGGATGGAATGTTCTGTATATAAGTCTATCTAGTCTAATGCATTGTTTAAGACTGACGTTTTCTTACTGATTTCCTGTCTCAATGATCTATCCATTGATGTAAGCATGATACTAAAATCCCCTTACTATTATTATGTTCTTATCAATTTTTCCCTGTAGGTATGTTAATATTTGTTTATGTATTTTGGTGCTATGTTGGGTGAACATGTATTTATAAATATTATATCTTCTTGTTGTACTATCCCCTTTATCATTATGTAGTGCACCTCTTTGTCATTTATTACACTCTTTCTTTTAAAGTTTGTTTTTCTTGGTATGAGTATAGCTACACCAGCTTTCTTTGTTTCCATTTGCATGGAATAACTTTTCCATCCCTTCTCTTTCAGGCTGTATATGTCTTCACTTCTGAAGTGAGTCTCTTGTAGGCCATATATAGATGTGTGTTGCTTTTCTATCCATTCATTCTAAGTCTTTTGATTGGAAAATTTAGTCTATTTACATTTAAAGTAATTAGTGATATATATTTATTTATTGACATTTTATTAATTGTATTTTGGCTTTTTGTTGTCCTCTTTGTTCCTTTCTTCTTTTCTTTTTCTCTTCCCTTGTGGTTTGTTGACTTTCTCTCGTGTTATGTTTAGATTCCTTTCTCATTTTCTTTTGTTTATTTACTGTATGTTTTTGCTTTGTGGTTGGCATGGGGTTCACATATTTCACCTTATGTATATAACAGCCTATTTTATGTTGAAAGTAACTTAAATATGAACACATTCCAAAACTCTCTTTTTACTTCCCCCAGATGCTATGTTTTTTATGTCATTTTTTACATCTTTTTATTTTACATATCCCTTAACTAATTAATGTACTATAGTTAATTTTACTACTTTTGTCTTTAACCTTCTTGGTAGCTTCATAAATATTTAATCCACCACCTTTACTATGTATTTATCTTTTCTGGTGAGATTTTTACTT